GGTACGATTGTAACGTTGATGAAATGGGATTATTTTTTTCGGCGTCTTACGTTTGATATGATTGTTTTCATCTACATGAAACGTTCGACCACCAGCCTGTAGCCAATTAGTCGCAACTGTAAAGTTAATGCGTTTACCTATTTTCTATGTAGAGAACAATGTCAGATATGTCTAGGTGTATATATGATATCCCCCTAAACTATTCTACCTTACTAGAATCAATTACAACTTTCTCTCGAGTTTTTCTAACACGTTTCAGATTCTTATATTCTTTAGTGTTCAACATATGTTGCGATAATGACCACCATTTTCTACTTAAAGGGATGCTGTCCTCTAAAATCAATTGAGGTGAATACTCGCTTAGATTCATACTCACTTTATCCAAATAGCTTCGTATGAGGCTGTAAATTTTCACAATCATAACACGTTTTTCATTCGAGTGTAGCTACCTGTATATTATTGTATGCGATTTGTTCAGATTTACACAACATATCGCGAAAATAACTATGTAGAAGCATGTTGATTGGTTAGTTTTAAAAATCACGTGACGTCATGAATATTCATTACCCGGTCCGAATACGAGTTTACCTACTTAAGGGAATCCGGTAAATATATGTCAAACTGTAGTCTCGGACATGTTTAAGACCCGATGGTCTGCAATCGAATTTGCCAATTCGACACCCCTTTCGACATTCCACATAATAATATTGTTTATTTGGTTTATATATTACATTATAAACTTATTTATACGTTGCCAGATATAATTATATCTGTTGGCAAATTCAAACTTTCATTAAACGAGTCGGGTATTTTTGAGCAATTTATCATTTTCAAAATGACAACCCAATTTTTGCCTCACTCATGAATTTTGTAAGTTTGGCTTGTTGCCAGAATATTATTTAAAGAGGCATAATTGTCTAAATATGTGATTTACCAGTTAAATGGCGTAATTTGGTCTAGCAGTATCACCTTTTAGAATTCAAATCAGACGCCAAGTTCGTATATTTGAACAAAAGTTACCATGGAGAGCGATACCGATAGCTGGCATAGGAAATTTAGGACTATAGTATTGTTCCTTGTAATTACTAGTCTTCATTGGTGAAGAACAGTAGGACTCAAAACTCCACCAAGTATTATATTTTTTCCTCAACACCGTTGCTTTGATTATTCTGTTTCAGTTCAGGGATTAGCCTAGAATTTAAAGGTAAAACAAGATGGCTGCCAACATTTCATTCTCATCTGTTGGTAGTATTAAGGTAAATTCAGATGAATTTAACCCGATCGGTTAAACTATCCAGCAAGTGACCTATAGAGTATATTTATTTGACCTATGTGTATACCAGTACTATTATTATGATATACCAATACGTTAAATATAATTAACAAGCTGAAAGCAATAGACAGTCAGATAATATCAAACACGTGTTTCAGATCGATTAATCATGCTTACTCTAAAGTCCGTGTTATGTATGGTTTTCATATAGGCCTGAACCCATAATAACTTAACTGATTAATTAAAATGTTATCTATTGTTTTATCTTTACGCATAAATTAATATAAGTCGTGCTTACTCTGCAGTCCGCGTTAGTTTGGCTGAACCATGACTCTTGACTGATTAATTATAATGTTATCTATTGATTTACATTTATGCATAAATTACCCGATATACATCTGCATAAAAAATTAAAAATTACACATACTCACTCTGCAGTCCGCGCTGTTTAATTATATGATGGTTTCTTTGATGTATTTTAATCTCTTTTCATTTCCCTCGCCATTTCTAAGAAACAGCACTGTCAAACTTTAGTGAATTTAAACCCTTCCCACTATAACACTACCCAGTGCCCCTACCGCCTTCCTGGATTCACCCCCTCTTAACCACCCCCTCTCAATATATTTCTGTTTTGACAATAGACCTCTAATGTAGTATGTAACGAGGTTCAAATGATAAGTTGAAGCTGTAAATATCAAGTCGACTCTAGTATTTAGTCTGTTAAAAAAATTATTGAATCTGCTATCATCATTACGACACCATTAAATATCAAATATTACCACTCAATCGAACATCTTCAGAATCTATTTTTCAACCTTCATTTGTCCGCTAACCAAAATGAAATGAAATGAATGGAGTTTTACATCCTTCTTTTCTTCACTATGTGGGCTAATGAAGGCGGTATGAAACCAACGAGGTGCAGCTTGGTACATTTGGAATTCGGGGGAAGACGTCGGTCGTGTTTTTAATTCTAAGTAAAGTTAAAGTATTTTATAGTCGTCTGGGTATTTGCTTCAAAGGCACAAAGGCTCAAGCTATCTGTTCCACTTTTCAAAATTAGAATCCGACGTCTGATTCTTCTACAATTAAAAAAAAAGAAGGAGCTTTTTTACACCGGAAGCACTTCACAAACAAATGTAACCTCCAACAATCAGAGCTATTAGTAACATTTCAAAGAAAATTTTCGAAGTTATCTGAAACCTAAGTATCGTAATCTACTCGTACTAAATTACTGAAGAAATTAAAATCTCTGCAGCTAGTGATGGAAAACTATTTTTAAACTTTCGCTTTATCTTTTATTAGATAACTTTACAACGTGAAATTATTTTACTTAGTGGTCGTATATCTTTTTAAAGCTATAGATGTTTGGTTGGGACTATTTCCCACGCCTCAGTTGAAATAGTTTTATTGAAGGTCATACTTGCCAACCAAGATACGTACCTAACCGTACAGGGCCGAGTACCGATGTGCAGTTATACCTGTTCCAAATTTGCGACCCGTAACAACGAATAAAACACAAAATTACAACCTTGCGCCGTGTAACGAAAGACGTGAAATGAATTTGTTTCTGAACATTGTCCATAAATTTTTATGTTTGAAATTTTAGTGGTGAAAGTTGCCAAAATAAGCCACTTACCAAGACGATACTATCAGTAAATCGACTGTTATGAAACGATTTAGTTGAAAAAATAAACATTCTAATGTATTTGAGTTACATTCAACTCAAAAAACATAGATGTAATTTCAACAAACACATTTTCTGCATTTCTCGTTAATTTCGTGGAATGCCAAGTTTCTGCTGAGCATTTTATACAACTCGCGTCGAATAATATCATGTAGGCCGTCAACCCTGACCCACACAGTTCCTCAGACGTGATGATAATACGGATGTGATATCACGAAACGTTCCTCAGACGTGATATACGGATGTGATATCCTCACGAAACGTTCCTCAGACGTGATATCGTGACTACCTAGCTCCTCGGACGTGATACTGATATGCTGTCGTCACTACCACGTTCCTCAGACGTGATCTATAGATGTGATATCGTCACTGCCCAATTCCTCGGACGTGATATCTGGATCTGATATCGTCACTGTCACGTCATATATCACGTCTGAGGAATTGGGTAGGGTCAGAATTGTCGGGCTTTTGATGTCCTATAGTCTGAGGCGCTGCTTCCAGCTGTACATGTTAAAGGTCATTCCTAAATCTGAAATGGGAAAACAACCACAGCTTGTAGCAATTTTTCCTTATTGGGTAATGCACAACGGTGTCCGTCATACTTAGGCAAATCTTGAGCAGAAAAGTAGACCGTAGAACCCCATCCTTTTCATACCACTTGCTGTTACATGCCTGCTCGAAGTCCACCTATCAGATACAATCTTCTTATCTCTGTAACTCACAGCGGCCATTTCCGTTATCTGTCTGATACTGAACAGATCCTAGATAACTACCTCGTTGAAGCTTCTGATTTATTAGACACTTTCGAGTGGTTGTATCTGATTTCTTAAAGAGATTGTTTCGGCAACCTTTTTTCTCGCCAATAGCCAAATAGTGTCTACCAATACCCAAATTCTGTCTCGCCAAAAACTATATTCTGCCCAGACAAGGCCAAATTCCACCTTTCCAATTTGGGTATTGTTGAAACAGAATTTCACTCTTGGCTAGACACTGTTTGGCTATAGGCTAGACAGAATTTGGCTATAGGCTAGACACTGTTTGCCTATAGGCTAGACACTATTTGGTTATAGGCTAGAAACTGTTTTGCAATAGGCTAGACACTGTTTTGCTATAGGTTAGATAGAATTTGGCTATAGGCTAAGCATAATTTGGCTATAGGCTAGACACTGTTTGGATATAGGCTAGATACTGTCTGGCTATTGGCTAGACAAAATTTGACTATAGGCTAAGCATAATTTGACCATAGGTTAGACAGAATTTGGCAATAGGCTAGACAGAATTTGGCTATAGGCTAGACACTGTTTGGCTATAGGCTCGACAGAATTTGGCTTTAGGCTAGACAGAATTTGACTATAGGCTAGACACTGTTTGTCTATAGGCTATGCAGAATTTGGCTATAGACTAGACATTATTGGTCTATGTAGTCAAGGCAAAATTCCATCCCATTCATTCAGCTGTAATTACACTATAATTAAGATAGGGCATGTGTTAATTGAAGATAATAGCACCATTAAGATACGAGAATCATGTCTATTAGTATAATATTCTGTATCATATGATTTAATATACCATTAACAGATTATACGGGCTATTAAAGTCATACTAGTTCGTTCAATCATTCATCCTAATTGTCTATCGTTCATTCATTCATTTCTTTTTTTCCTTCATGTCTTTCAATGGCTCATGCCAGTGGCGTATCTAGAAAAAACCTTAGGGGTGGGGGGGAAGTCAAAAAATCAGAGGTGTCTCTCAGAGGCGAGGACTGATGTGCCGAAGAACCTTGAGTCCAGAGTTCTTGGGTCTGCCAGGGCCCTAAAAGCCACCGGATTTCAGATGATCTGAGATCAATTTTGGGCATTAAGAGGGTGAAATTCAAATGAAGACATTTCATTGGTCTAATTCGTTTCGTTATTATTTTCCGTCGGAGACGAACCCAAAAATGTTCTAGCATCTTCATTCTTATTTCAGTGATGATTTCTATTGCAGGTATTCTATGATTATATGGCTGATTCACCTGTTGGGTTCACGTCAGACCAGTTTGAAGACAAATGTCCCCCGGTGCCAAAAGTCCTGCTAGACGGTGCCTGTGCTGTCAGAATCTGTAATTCTGATAGAGAATGTGAAGACGACACTCATAAATGTTGTTATAACGGCTGTACTTATACTTGTCGACCTAAAGTTCAACCACCTGCTTGTAAGTATACATTGCACCATCTTAGCGCGGGCCTATGAGAGGCATTTTTCTTCTACTGTATAACGGAAGTTTGTAACTGCAAAAATTTCGTTGGATTGTAGGTTTGGATTGGGGCGAAATACACGAGATTACCCGAATTTTTCACCTAGTTAAGAGTATGAGACTTTTGCCCGCTAAACTTGCTTTCGAGGCTGCGAGAGGGGCCGCTGCCGCCTCTGACACCCCTCCCCCTCCCTCCTCCGCCACTGTTTTCATTGGTGTGTGTGTGATTACACCCGCTACAATTGATGGCAGTCGACACTTGAGCAATGCTCTGGGTTTATATTTTAGTTGTTGACTGGATACAGGAACCCAGAAGACGATTAAGCTCTGGTAGAAGTTGGTTGATCAATGGGCCAGATGCAGAAACTGAAGGTAAATATCATTTCAATTTCCCATACCGTCTTGGAACACTTGTTTGTCAAACCAATCTCCGGTTTGGAGAATGCAACATGGCTTCCCTTCTCCATTAATAGTTTTAATTTTCTAGTGCAGGTGTTAGGTGGAAAAACAGCGCAGTGAGACTCACAGCACATTCATTTCATTTCATTTCAGTTGAGATCTGTAGCACCAGTCCGGTAGATATAGACGAAGATCCTCTATTGTGTCCACATGGTTATTTCTGCAATATAGAGGACGTTGGAGATCCGAATAATGGTATACCGAATAGAGGAAACTGCATCAAACAGGTCGACGATGTCTTGCGAGGTATTGTTTGAATTCGTTTTGGGGTAAATTTTGAACTCTGTCAGGCAGTATGGTAGGATCCTTCTTTGACCAAAAATGACTACAAATTGTGTTATCCAGCTGGTAGACAGGATTCTCGTGAACCTAGAATGCTATATCAGTGGTTCAACTACCATGGTTGAACTAAGTCCGCGGACCCCCAACTCCCGACAAAAAAGCAGAAGAGCATATTTTGAAAAAAATATTTCCTGAGGGAGTCCACAGACCCCCACCTATCTAGTTGAGCCACTGTGATATATCAACGTGAGATCGTTGCGAAGAGGTTTGGTAGACAGCATCCTCGAGGACCTAAGGTTTCATCATTGTAAGACCAGTGCCAGAAGGTTTCACAACCCTGCCGTTTTGGCCAAGAGGGAATTGTTAGACAGGATTCCGAAGAACAGAAGATGTTATCCTAAATTGGAGATGTGCCTTTATTTTAACTTTATTTAAGAGACTTATAGGGGTGCTAAAGGAGTGCGGGCGTGTAACTACTTACTGGGTGTACTAATAGAACTCAATTTCAGCTACGTCGGATTTTAATACTGACAAGGGGTGCAGATAGCTGCAAATTGAGCTATATCATGTGGCTAAACTAATAAACACGCCTTTCCATCTCTTTCATTTTAGACACCCCTTTTAAATGGTCGCAGAAGGAGACAATAGATAGCAGTGAAGATAATAAAACTCCCTTTAAACATCATGGTTGTATTTTAGATGATCAGTTGATTACGGATCAAGCTTCTATAACATTAGATGGAAAAATATGGTGAGAAAATCGTCTCCGTGAGAAAATCATCTCCTATCCCATACCAAGTCAGAGTAGACCCTACCAATCTAGATAAATCTATATCTAATGCAATAGAAAACTGTGCTCGGACCAGAATCTATGTAACCTTGCAGCTCAATGGCATCTTCTGGCTGGTCGCATAATGAATCCATCAGCCATCAGTCATTATCATTATCATCGTTACCAACGTCGTTGTCGTCATCATCATCATCATCATCAATTACTATACCTTACCATTTTTTTATATTTCAGTAAATGTGATGGTAGTGTATTGAAATGTAAAAAAGAAGAAAAATGATGAAAAAACATACATTCCTTTTGGTAAAAAAAACGAGCGCTGGTGTCACAGATATCGCACTCATAACTTTATTATTCAGAAACTTGATTGGGTCTTACAATAAGAATTAACCAGTAAATTGTCTTATGAGCGTATATGAATAAAATAATTACAATAGAAAGCCATATAGAATATGTCATAATTTCAAATTTTCAATGTGGTTCTCACACCGTCATCAGGAATATTGTGATACTCTGAGAATATTTATTACTTTCAACGTTTCATTGTGATTCTCACACCGTCATCAGGAATATAAAGAATAATCTGGGTTATCCGATCTTTGCAATAGGTTCAAAAGAATCAAATCATTGATCAAAAATGTGAAAACTTCATATGGATTTTTTCATCCCCCAATTTTGGTGGTACATACTGCTGAATTATCAAATGACAATGCAATATTATGTTCAGTGAGTTAATAACACTGTGTAATAAATACTGTTATTAAAACATGTTATTTTATGTTGATAAATATAGCCATCTTTCGATGTCCAACTGTCGAGGGATCTTTAACTTGCACAGCCTGTAGAGAGGCAAACGGGGTCTCGGTTTATTGTCCCATCCGAACTACATCAGAGGGTCAGTCCCTCTTACCTACATCACTGAAGGTATTATCTCGACCTATGTCGGAATTGAACACTGGCCCTTCAGGTTACGCTAGCATGCGTTTACGTCATTGAACCATAGCCGGTTACATCCCAGTCCTCAAGAACACGGCGCAGAGCTACCGACAGTAATAGAGTTCTGGGAGTGACGGGACAAGTCAGATCCGAAGCAATTCCAGACTGTTCCGGAAATCTTAAAGGAAGTTCCATTGTCATGATTCCAAGGATCGTTATCGAAGATTTTTGTGTCCAGCTTGCTGGTCCCAAGCATATTACCACAGTATCTTATAGTCAGAATGTATTTATATCCTCTTATTAGAAATCTATTGTCTGAAAATAGCTATTCACCCTATTGGTTTTTTATTGAAGGGAGATAACTACTATTTATTTTAAAATATTCAGACTACACTTGATAACTTATTTGTATGGTGTATTTAACAAATCGAAACTTCATAAAATTTACATTTCTAAGAATGTTTTCACAATTTGAAGACTGTTGTTCCGATTAAAATAAAAATATCAGCAAAATTTCAAAGTCAGAAAGCATGTACGGTTTGTTGGGATTTAGTATCGGAACAAAAGTCTTACGGGAGCATAGCCTACAGAAAGTTTCTTATCCTCTTTAAGAATAATACTAAGAAAAAAACTTTAGCAGCCAACAAGTTTGGAAATTTGCATTATTTGAAATAAAATGAAATTTAATTAAATAGGCTTAGCCTAAATGCAATTTATTTTGGTCTATGGTTTAAATTTTAGACAGCCTTGTTTCCAAATGATTTATTTCTAAATTGTTTGTCTTATCAGCGAGTTCATTAACAACACACGTTTAAAACGTCTTCATTTCTGAAAGCGTTTTCTTAATGAGGCATCCATAATGGCTTTAGATGTTCACGGCTGACTTGGATAAGGTAAACAGTTTTTCTTTTGTTTTATGAGTATCGTTCTGCAATGCCTCATAATAGACTCAATCGTCAAGACGCCTCATTGAAATTTCTATAGTCAAAAGAGATTTGATAATCGCGACGTTTAAAAATCTGAAATTGTCTGCCCTTGTTTTCTAGAGGGCGCCAGTGTTTCAAAATGGAAGAATGGAGTAGAAGAAAGTAATTTTCTGCAGATGGTAATGTCTTTATATCTTTATTTTGCATCCCAAGAATTTATATCCAAATAATTTCTGAAATTCCGGAAGTATGCTTCACGTGTTAGACATGCTGCTAGGAGGAATTCCATTGTTACTAAGTAGCTACACATGACACAACACCAAGCTAACCGATTTTTGCTTTCTAGCAATTTTTTTTTTCGATTTTTTTTTTATAAATTTGGAAGCTTTGTCTTCTCTTGTCGGTTGGTCATTGCAGTTGTAGCTTCAAAGACTGTATCTATTAAGTTTTAGATTATTTTGTATGAGATCAAAGAAAAAAGTAATGTTACGGTACTTGGTTGGTTTGTATTGCCACTAGCCTGTCCATGCCATGCTCAAGCTTCCAAGTTCCATTTATTCAAATTCTCATTCAACTGTACCATTGTTGTACTGTTCTACCATACAACTGGCAGCAAAATGATACACTGCCATAGTAGGTTGCTTATCCCAAAACAGAAGTAGGGAATAAGCATGTGAACCTTCCAACATGGCTTCTTACAGTACCGGTATAGAGACGTTTAAAAGATGCAAAAGTCGACCCACCTATCCTACTAATACCAAAATAATTTGCTATGAAAATAAAAAAGATGCAAAAAAGTACTTAAGGAGAGAGGAAACTACTTTTGGGACCTCAAGGGGAAGAAATAGAGGGAAAACGACTGTGAGCCATTGAATCCTTTATTTACTTGATAAATTTATATTGTAGAGATTCAAACAGATTTGATAGCTATGTGGTAAATGATAGAAGCAAGCAAATGACAGATTTAGAGAAGCTGTCTCAGTTATATTTGTAAATCAACCCATCACCATAGCATAGAACCAGTGATCATCCAAGATGGAGATGTCACAGCTTTTGTCCCCGGTGTTGCTATTTATAACTTTGTTTTTTCATAAAACATTGTGTACTGGCTTAACCACATGTAAGTAGCCAACATCATTTGAATCTTTAATAAACTGAAAGAATATAAATAATTTGCCTCAAAATTAAGGTTATTAAATATACAGTGACTCTGGTTAAAGGGATCAATTGGCCATTTTCAGGGGTTGAATCAGGTATTGAATATTTGTGTAATATTAGAAATGTAAGAAAATTGGTAATTATCTTTATATTTATCTTTATGTCTTATCAATATATGACAGAGTCTCAAAAAACGTTTTAACTTACTAAAGCAGATAAGTCTGGACATACATAGATTATGATCAAGGGCTTATTAATATAGTTAGTATTACATGTCTAACTTCAGTAAAGACACAGACTGAAAATTAGGTCAGTTGTCTGAAGATCTCATAGCGTGAAACTCTGAGTAACAACATGTTTTTTAGGTTCTGTTTTAATATTTCTAGTTAGTATTTATTATGTTATTAAAAGGTTTTTTCCCTCTTTCAGATTATATGGAAACTAATTGTGGAAAAGCGCTAGATTTAGAATATTTCAATGAAATCCAAGTCAAGGCTCAACCGTCCTCCAAATCTTCAGGAAATTTAAACAGTATTTGTACAGTGACAATATCGACTGCTAGGTCAGCCGAGGAGGGCCAATATAGTAAAATTTGTGTCCATTTTGACTCGTTAAAGGTCTCAGATAAATGTGATTCGTCGCTATTTTTAACTGGCGTGGACAGTTCGGACCCTAACAATGCTATGTATTTTCTGTGTAAAGACGACCCTCCCTCAAAGGAAGTGTGTTCGGTAGCAAATACGCTAGACATCACAGTGAGTCGCGGGTCTCAAAGAGCCTCAGATGTCCAGTTCTCTTTAAAAGCTACGAATAAATACCCTGAAAGTAAGCGTTACTGATTTTATTTTTGCGTTCCAAAATTAAGATCAAAAATTAAAGTATCTTGCCTTTGTTTTGTTGCATGTTGGCGTTTCTCATCCAAAAGTTCGACGTTTTTGCTCAAGATAATCTGAACCACTGTGGCCTGATCATTTTATATGCCAATAAATTTAATAATTTTTCTTAAATAGCAGTGTGATATAAGGCTCTTATTTGCAAATTTTGTACGTTCCCTTTGTTTCTATTTTCCAGTAAAATCCCATTGGCAGGAGGAGAGGTTTAAAGATTTAGAAGAAAGACAAGAATCCTCTACTATTATATCTATAGTCTGTGGTGCTGTCGTCGGCGCCATGTTTCTCATTGTCATGGTTACCGTGTGTATCATGTATCAACGTAATCAAGCAAGGGCACGTAACTCCAGTACTAGTAATCAAAACGGAGACAATCCTCTGAACCCGTCTGCTCCTCCTAATCAAGGTGAGGATTTGATTTTAATGTCGTCAATAGAAATTGGATTATCTATTGAAGGGAGTTTTACATCCTAATTTTCGAATGAAATGGCAAATGAAGATACACAATCACAAAAAAAATTTCTAATTACAAATAAGTTAACCAATTAAAAAGTATGCTTGTATCTTTGTGAGATGCAAATTTTGCAAATGGAATGACAGATTCCATGTTTTGTTCCTTTCATTGCAGGAGTAGGATACACAGCAGTGCCAAGACACGATACAGCCACACCGTTACCTGGCAACCATCCAGTACCAGAATACCATCCAATGCATGTGCTTCCATCACACAACCCTTCAGAGGCGTCAGCGCCTAGCATGAGAATTCCTGGAGGGTTTCAACAATATACCATAAACGATGCCAACTTGCAGAGAAACTACGCCATGTCGAATCATGGAAGCATAGGACCCCAGGGCTCGGCACCGGTAGGCCAGTTTTATCCGCCAGCGTATGATGCCCTTTATCCAGCCCCTGAGAAAGTCAACTTTGTCTAGGATAATAACCCTCTTATGTAATTAGCTCTATTTAGTCTAGTTTTAATTAATGCTTGCTGCCATGTTTCTTATCATCACCACTCTTGTCTGTCTGTCCTTGACCTTGTGCGAAAAATTTTAGTGAGACGTTGAACATGAAAATATTTGAGTAATTTGTTGGTTCAGGAATATTTTAAAGAATTATAAGGTGAATAATAACCATTCGAAATAGACTATTTTATAAGCGAGGGGTTGATGTGCCCAAAAATCTTTGGAATGATTTATTGGATTCAGTTATTTGAAAATTATGTGAGTGGATTTTAACCAATCAAAAGAACTCTTTTCAAAGAGAGTTGTGCCCATAATCATTATTTATTAACAGATGTTCATATTTACAAAATGAACCTAAAAAATGGCAAAGTGCTAGCTTCTTGATTGGTTTATTTGAAATTCTCCTTTTAGTTGAAAAGAATTTTTTTTTAAATTTTATATAGCCTATATTGAAATCTTTTGGTTCAACAATTAAAAACGGACAATGAGGCCTGCTGAACTGGGCATACATAAGGATCTTGCTTAATCAAACAATTAATGTTCCACATATTGACTGTCTTCTAACAGCATTTGATATATACAATATACAGCAATATGCCATGTTTCACTCTTTTTCTGTCCATTCTGTCTTCACAAGCATCATGCAAGTTTGCTTTGAATTTTCAGCATAGATTTGAGCATTGCATGGCTTCTAGTTAGTACAAATTACTTGTGAGCTTTTTCTTTATATGTATGCATTAGCTTTAAATTGCTTTTGTAATTTTTGATGTTGATTTTTTAGCTACTAATAATATCAAGATCCTTTGCGATAAAGACGTCATAAAATTCTTAGTTTTAGTGGAATTGCAGGAATCACTGACGTCGTATTTGAAAATTGGAATAGTGCAAATTGGTGTTAACAGTGTCCCTAATACACATAGACAGTTTAGAAAATCCCTTTAATTTTTACAGCAAATGCCACATATTAATTTTGTTATGGAACCGAAACCAAATGCCTCTTCATTTTATGACATGTTTTCAGGAATGCCTCTTTTATTTTCAGGGCAACAAATGGAATTTTGGAAGAGATCAAGGCCCAGGTGGAGGCCCTGGTGGCTTATATATCTGAGGGATGAGATCTTTTTTTGACATTTTGTCTCTTGCTGCTAGAATCTAAGAGGGCCTGTGTTTGGCCACTGTGACATAACAGTTTGTCTTCATTAGTGCAGAAAAATGGGATGTAAAACTCCATTTCCTTTCCATGATGTTTGATTAGTAGGTCACCAAAGTTTTGCTTATGCTTATGCTTATTGAGTCTCAATGGTATTAGTTTAATTTATTTGAAAAATGATATTATTTTAAAATCAAAACTTTTTAAGAAATTCTCAATCAAATTTAATTTTTATTTGTCTAGTCATTTAGAAACCAAAAATTTATCAAGGGATATCGTACTCTAATTTTTTATCACTTTAACTGAATTTGTAGATGACTTCATCCTTTTAATTTCAACAAATTTCTCTACATTGCTAAGCTGAAATTGAGCTCTATCAGCTGGTAAAGCAAATATTTAGATGACTATAGAGATAGCTGAAATTGAGTTCTATCGGCTGGTAAAGTAAATATTTAGAAACTATAAAGATAGCTGAAATTGAGCTCTATCAGCTGGTAAAGTAAATATTTAGATGACTATACAGATAGCTGAAAGTTGAGCTCTATCAGCTGGTAAAGTAAATAATTAGACAACTATAAAGATAGCTGAAATTGAGCTCTATCAGCTGGTAAAGCAAATATTTAGATGACTATAGAGATAGCTAAAGTTGAGCCCTATCAGCTGGTAAAGCAAATATTTAGACAACTATACAGATAGCTAAAGTTGAGCCCTATCAGCTGGTAAAGCAAATATTTAGACAGACTATAAAGATAGCTGAAATTGAGCTCTATCAGCTGGTAAAGCAAATATTTAGAAGACTATACAGATAGCGAAAATTGAGCTCTATCAGCTGGTAAAGCAAATATTTAGACGACTATAAAGATAGCTGAAATTGAGCTCTATCAGCTGGTAAAGTAAATATTTAGAAGACTATACAGATAGCGAAAATTGAGCTCTATCAGCTGGTAAAGCAAATATTTAGACAACTATAAAGATAGCTAAAATTGAGCTCTATCAGCTGGTAAAGTAAATATTTAGAAGACTATACAGATAGCAAAAATTGAGCTCTATCAGCTGGTAAAGCAAATATTTAGATGACTATACACATAGCGAAAATTGCGTTCTATTAGCTGGTAAAGCAAATATTTTGTTGACTATACAGATATTGATGTCCATCAGCTGGTGAAGTAATTTTATTCTAATAATATTCTTTTCTTTTTGTTTGGAAAAGTCTTGATAAAAATATTAGGATAAAAAAAATGTGAAAAACCAAAAAAATAAAACAATTTTGTATGAATAGCTAGCAGTTACCAAGTGACCTTAAATAATGGTTGTGCAAAATATTGTCTGTTTCATTTTAACCCACCGAAGCATGTCATGTAGGGCTCAGTTTAGAACAGAGCTGCAGTAGAAGACTTGTTATATTACAATGGAGACAAAAAGGGAATTTGTAATCTAATTTTGATTACAATATTAAATCTTTTTACTGTTAAAATTCTGCTCAATACATCAATTTAAAGAGCGATATACAAATAGAAATCTTAAAACAGAACCTGAAACATGTAACTCAGAATATCATGTTTCAGGTTCTGTTTTAATATTTTTATAATTTTGATTATGATAGTAACTAATTCAGATCTGCCATGTTTAATTGTATTTTAATTAGATTTTTTGAAAGAGGGGGGACTCCTGGTTGAGACATCCCACCCCTCCCCCCAACAAACCATTTGCTTTCAATGTTTTTATTATTAAAGTGCTTTACTGTGTATATTGTAAATATTGTATGTGATTTCATTGTTTTATTAGGATTTGTCTCCTGTGTTCATTTTAAGCATTAGAAATCCATATTTACTAACACCTAGTGTTACTATGTAATGACAGTGGGCACCAGGTATGTCACAATGTCAAGCGATTACGACCTTTGTCTTATACCTTGACTACAATAGCCAGTTTCTTGTGTCATAGAATGCAGCAATGAACTACATGGTTAGTGCTCACTTCTCTCCATCTTCACAATGTTAAGCCATTATGACTTTCGGCTTATACCTTGACTGCTCTAGCCACTTGTAAACATTATAGGTTAGTGTTCTAGCATACCATCCAATCAAATCACAGCATTTCCGTGATTAAAGTAAGGCGACTATTGTAGTCAAGGTATAAGCCTAAGGTTGTAATATCTCCACATTGTGAAGATGATCTAATCTAAAGTGTAACAAGTGTTTGAAAGGTTGTTCATGTTACATATTCGTAATGTCAAGCTATTACAAACTCTGTTTAATACCTTAACATCAGTAGGCATTTGCAAGTCAGAACCTGCAGCGCTTTGTAGCCACTGATAGCAAAAAAAGAAACTAAGTGTCTGCTTGGTGTGGGATCTCACCCTTTCAACAATTTCTTATCACCCATTCACTTCATGTTCACCCAGCTTAGAATACTAAAATAGAGTAAAGATATTTATGCAAATGCATGGACAATTCCAAATACAAACAAGACCAGTCTACTTTATTTTTAGGTAGTATAAGTAGTAATGTATTCTGCTATTGAACACAGTATAAGTCGTGATTTTTTCACTTGTAACTACTTATACTACCTCAAAATAAAATGGACTATTCCTGTATGTTTTGAATCATACCTGCATGTGCATATCTACCTATGCTCCACTATACAGCCCAGTATTATTTATGTTCACCATGTATCATTTATAAAACTTATATTGTTGTTATTGTACCAAGCTTGTAGATGCTTTGTATTTATTTAAAATATCATTTCATTTGTCTTATTCTGGAGGGAGCACAAGCTCATTAAATTTTAACCTTTTTCATCAAGGGATTAGATATTAAATAGCTTGTAAACCCTTCATAGATCATTTTAATATCTATTCTTTGAGGTTCATTTATTTTACATGACTTGGAATTTCAATACCAAAAATTGTCTAAGATTGGGGCCTTTTCGCATGTAATTTTGGCAATTTTTAAATTCAATTTAGAAACCACAGTGGTCATTGAAAAAGCTTAGCATTAATTTGAAGAATTTCTATTTTTGCTGTCTATTTTGTGAGTAAGAAATTAATTTGTAATTCAACTAATATGTACATTGTTACTAATGTGATAGATGGTCGATTTATTTACTAATTTATACGTTTTACAGATATTCAAAGATAAAGTGGGTTAAAGCTATTTATGCACGTCCATGACATCAATTAGAATAGTCCACTATTTTGATTGGTAAAATAAATGACGATTGGCTAATTCAAAGGTTTTATTGACCATTAATTCCACCTTAGAATATAGTTTACTCTTCTTGTGTATGTTTGATGTGCAAGAAAACACAATCTCGAACAGTCCACTTTCTTTGAGGTAGTTTAAGTGGTAATGCGCTGAAGCTTGAAAATATACCCTAACCATAATAGACTGTTCTTTTTTATATTTGGAAGCGGTCTGATGAACAGTAAAATCTTTACCCCACTTTAGAATGTCTAGTTTTGGATGGTTTGTCAGATACGCTTTTCCCTTCATCGTGGACTCGATGTCTTTTTGTGGTGCATTTTCACAATCGATCAAACGCCAATTTATTCACCCATTTATATTTTTCTTACATCTTTATCTTTTTCTCAATAAAATTGATGATATTTTTACTCAGGTGTTTTCTTCTCAATGTCACCCTGTCTACGATGCTGGTTGGATAGACTGTTTTGAATCTTTTAGGTCCTTGAATTTCCCGACTGTAAGTCGGCTTGCTAGAAAACTTTCTGACACGACGAAAATTGCAATATATATCCCCTCCTACTTATCACAACAACACAACATCATTCTTAGCTAAGTCAAGGGCAATAACTCGACAATCCTGATATCTTTTGGTAACTGTATGATATCCCAAGAACACAAAATATATACAAATATCTACAAAGTTTATTATAATACCAACATTACAGAGACAAAACGACACATTTTCTTAACCTGCGGGCTGATTTCGGTAAACATGACGATTTTAAAATTCGAGTCATCTGATTGGTCAATCACTAAATTAGCTTTATTATCCAATCAGATTGCTAGACTTTTTATTAGCTTTTCAAGAATTATGCCCCTTTTCAATTAAATTTTAACAATACCCCGCGGTTGAAAATTGAAAAAGGTTGCTGAGTAAACCAAAGCACGAAATTATCAAATCACCCTCCTGACAGGGGCTATTAATAGTCTGAATAGAGAATGATTTTCAAATTTTTCGCGCAGTACCTTTCACCCATAGTAAACAATTCCCTATTCATCCCCACCCACAAAAAGTATTCTTAGAACCCAGCCTTAAATAACCTACCGAAAACGTCCTACTCTTTTAAGTCCGGACCTGATTTTCCGGGCTTCGGATCCGACTCCACAAGTGGTTTCCAAAACATCAATTTCTTGGTCTTTTTCGGCAAAGGTTCAGCACAGGGCGTCATTTTCTTAAATTCCGAAATCCTTAATTTGGACAACAAATCAGCTTTATGATTATGGATTCTCTTCACATGAAGAGCTCGGAGGTCTATATTGTACTTGGCGCAAGTTTGAATCATAATTTGATACAATCGGCCATATTTTTGCAGCAGTTTTTCTCCTGGCCCCGGACCATGATTGGTGAAATCCACAGCAGACTTATTATCCGACCAGCATAATACTTTTTTATTGATGAACTTCTGTTTCCAAGTGTACACGGCAGTGACTAAAGCAAAATATTCCCAGAAACAGGAATCGAATTTAAGACGAAATTCGTCGTTAAGATCAGACGGCGAGAAGTGTTCCGGCCAACCTTCGGATATCCAGCGGATTGTATCATTCGTGTCCCGTGTTAGTAAATACGCCCCGAGTCCGCTTTGGGAAGCGTCCACGTAAATCTCGTAATTCGGACCGAATTCTTCTCGTGACATTTCCCTCTTCTCTTCTGGAATTCTGGATAACTTCCTGATACTTGGTAATTTATGGACAGCCAAATTGTTCTTTTCGTTCAATAACCCCAAAACCTGAATAGAAAATGGCTGCCTAATGTAAATTATACTGATTGCTACCAATCATTATATACAAACTGAGATATTCACTCAATAATCCAAAATCTGTGATATAAAATACATAATTGGAAGACACTTATAGTGAGCGCGGACCTATGAGAGGCCCTCTCTTATTATACACAACATTCTCATTCTCAATACTTCCTCAAGTGAAACATTCATTAGCTGCTACCAATGTTTCGCTAAAATGTTGTTTTGGATTTAAGGTTTCCTTTTGAGGTCCGGTTCATTAATGCTTGGTTTATTTAAAGTGTATGCAAAAATAGGACGTGCAAACTCCATTTCTGATTCTGAAATTAAGCGAGACTTACCTTAAACCTGGTGTAAGCCAACAAACAAGTCATATACTGTGTAGAATAGAAGGAGTAGCCGGCGCTAGACACACTGAAAGAGAACGGCCAAGGGACATTGATCTCCGAACTCCAAACATGGTGGTTATCTTTTTTGGATTTCGTGGTGTACAGCCTAAAATTGTGTTTACTGCTTGTATCACCGTCAACGTACGTTCCCTTCTCGTACATCGTATGTAACACATCGAACACCTTCTCTTCATTGACAGAACGGACTTGGCCATTGCTTTCGTGAATTAATCCCATTTTCTGAAATTCAATTATTTAGGATTGGAATGCCAATGACCCTATGAGGTATAAGAAATAATTCTCCATTTATCTCACGAGACACGTATTGTACAGAACATTAGTATATAAAACTCCATTTCATTTCATTAGTTCAATAAGATACCGAACAGTAAGATATAAAACTCCATTTCATTTCATTAGTTCAATAAGATACAGAACAGTAGGATATAAAACTCAATTTCATTTCATTAGTCCAATAAGGAACAGAACAGAACAGAACAGTAGGATATAAAACTCCATTTCATTTCATTAGTTCAATAAGGTACAAAACAGTAGGATATAAAACTCCATTTCATTTCATTAGTTCAATAAGGTACAGAACAGTAGGATATAAAACTTCATTTCATTTCATTAGTCCAATAAGATACAGAACAGTAGGATATAAAACTCCATTTCATTTCATTAGTCCAATAAGATACACAACAGTAGGATATAAAACTCCATTTCATGTCATTAGTCCAATAAGATACAGAACAGTAGGACATATAACTCCATTACATTTCATTAGTCCAATAAGATACAGAACAGTAGGATATAAAACTCCATATCATTTCATTAGTCCAATAAGATACAGAACAGTAGGATATAAAACTCCATTTCATTTCATTAGTCCAATAAGATACAGAACAGTAGGATATAAAACTCCATTTCATTTCATTAGTTCAATAAGATACACAACAGTAGGACATATAACTCCATTTCATTTCATTAGTCCAATAAGATATAGAACAGTAGGATATAAAACTCCATTTCATTTCATTAGTCCAATAAGATACAGAACAGTGGGATATAAAACTTCATTTCATTAGTCCAATAAGGTACATCACAGTCTAACCCTCCTATCCTCGAAATCTATTTCCTTGAAACCCCATTGCATTTCATTTCATTACCTCATGTGAATACTGGACTTTCTTACCTGATAAACCTCACAAGCCTTATAATAAACGTCCTCCTCCGCCTGTTGTAGAGAACGATGTATGGCTGATAGATGAATATTATGGGGCCAGTGGATGTGTAGGCACACGTTCCAAAAGGGTTTACCATCAATATAAGTTTGTCTATAGACCATCATGGGTTCCACGGTATCGCCTGTTTTTATCAGAGGGCTCAGAAGGGATTTCACCAGCTCCTTAGGGTCCTTGATCATCTTTTTCATTCGAAATGCTGAAAATAAAATAAATTCAGATAAATTCAAATTACAGATAATCAATCTTTATAGTGAGTTGGATAGAGAAATTGGGTGTTGTATAGGTTCGAATCTTCAAAGAAAAAGATCTAATGCTAAGGTTTGTAGTAATACGTTTGAAAGTCGGCTCATTTCAGCCATCAATCTAAAAATAAACGACAAAAAACGCTAATCTGTAGCACTCACTATAGTAAAGTATAGAGAGCGCGGACCTATGAGAGGCCCTCTCTTATAATAATAACACTATGCTCTGCACTAATAATTGAAATTCGTTAATCAATTTTAACTTTTTGTACACGATTGGACCAATTCAATATACAGGGGCATTTTGCAAGGCTAGTTGATAATGTATATATAATTTTACCTCATGGCACACTGCATGGCTTTAGTTGTTATCTTTTCTCCAATAAGGTATAGCAATGTAGAATTTGTCATAGACTATACAAAACACAAGTCCATTTTATTTCATTTGTCCAACAAAGATAAGAGCAATATGGACATAAAACTCTATTTCATCTCAATTATAGCTTTTCTTACCTCTTTTTCTGTCTCCAGGGTCAAATGTATTAGCTGACAGAAGAGCGGTGGTGCTCAGATAATGTTTTTGTAGATAGCGGCATATGTAGACGGACAGCCTTATGTTTTCCTTCACGTTGGTTGGACCGTGAAGTCGAGCTAATATCGGACGAACGTGAGTAAATCTTATAAGCGACATGGTATAAGTTCTGACAGAAGTTCCTGCTCTATATGGATACCTTGGTTTTGTAATAACGTCGACGTAACACAATGCCCTTTTAAATATTATAATTCAATTATGACGTTACTTTGAAAGGCTTTTGTCGGAGGTATTTGACTATAGGCTTCTATGAATCGGGCCTAACGGTAGCTGATTTCTGATTTATAAAATGAGTTCAATATGGTTGATATCTGAGCTTTTAGGCGATGTTATACATATTTAACGAGATGTGGCGTCGTGCGGTGTGGGATTTTGTAATGGTACGATAGGCCTCATCTCGTACCTTTAACGCACTGGAAAATTTGCCTCGTCTATTTGCACCGCTCCCCTGTTATTTGACTGGTACTTAAAAAAAATTTGCAATAATGACAGAAAAAAAGACACAGTTCCTTAATCAATTCAGACATTTTTAGAATCACTAGAACTCATCCTTTTGTCGTCAGGATTTCTAGTTTTGGAAATGGACTTCTTTTGAGTCAAATTAATGCATAATGACACAATGCTCGCGAGGAAGTCTCGCGATCCGCACGTCACAAAAATCTTGGTTTATGACGTTATAGCTTTATTAACGAACATAGCAACAAAGTCGCCATTTTATTTTTGACATCCGTCGCGTTAGGACGTACTCGCGTATTTTCAACCTTTTTTCAAAAAAATTGCGAAATGAGCATGCATAGTTCGGACAGCATTCTCTACTGCGAGAGGTTTCATGATTATCTGGGTGAAGATGTGCTTCAAGTACTGAAATGTGGAATTTGTTTAGAGTTTTATGATAATCCAGTTGTTTTACCGTGTGGACATACCTTTTGTTACAAGTAAGTTAGCTTAGCGTTTAGGTTGCTTGCTCGTATTCTTTTATTATCGTTCCCTTACAAGAAAACATGAACGAGGAAAGTATTAGGTAAGATTAGATCCAGACTAGATTTATCATTAACTGATTGCTGACAAAGTCAAAGTATGATTTGAATTCTGAAAAGAGTCGATAGATTAGGCTGAAATTTAGATCAATCAACTGGTAAAGAATATTTAGAACTAATAACCTTTTGCATTCCTATTATTTAAAGAACCTTTCCTGTTCGGGCGAAGAGTTAACCTTTTTGGTTCCCTACACTACACTCAGTGGAAAACGTTTGATCAAACAACTTGACGCCCAAACCCTAAAACTCATTTTCATTTTAATTCCTTTTTTAGCTGTTTACTTCAAATGGGAAAACATGCCAACCGAAACAAGAAAGTTCCCGTTCACGATTTGACTATTGGTTGTCCGAATTGTCGTTGTCCGATTTTCGTGGTCGCTTTGTTACAGCGTGATGTTACACTGAACTACCCGATTCAGTCTTTGATAGATGGTTTGAAAGGGAGAAAAAATACTAAAAATAAATCCAAAATGGTAAGTCAATTGCATCTCAAGTTTCGGATACTAGTACATCATCAGGGCGGCTTTTATTGCTAAAATATGAGGCGAAGTATTAAATAAAATTGGCCATCTTTAAAACGAAGGTTCTTTAGGTTGCAGTGAGTCGTACTCCCGGCTGGTCCTCGAGGACCCCTTTGCCAGCACATTTTGCATCGACATCACCTCAGTATCCGTATCGGTATATCGGTGTCTTTATTAGTACCGGGTACCAGTTATATAATTGGTCAGTTTCTATCACTGACTTTTTCATTGACCAATCAGATTACTTCATTTATTTTTGATAATGTTTTTTTTGTCTTCAGGTCGATGAAGGAACCAATACTGAGAAATTTTTTGATACTGAAGAAGATTCAAAGAAAAAATCGACCATTCCATTTCTCACTTCCGGTGAATTTGAAAAAATCACCAGAGATTTTGATCGTTTTACGTCATCACTAAAAGGCGGGTCGGTAATTAATGACGCCTTTTTCTCGATTGAAAAAATCCGAAACCAATATTCCGATACTTTTGCTGCGGAAAGTTGCTCAAAAGCCAAGAAAAATCCCCAAAATACGTGCAACAAAAACAAAGGAATGGAGAAATATGTTTTTCAATCGAAGATGCCGCGCGATGACGTCAATATCGACCCTGCAATCGTATCGTATTCGGTTTGTGGTTCCGGTCAGTGTACATCGGGCTTTAACCTTCCCAAACCCAATCATGTATCTATATATTAGATAATCTATATTGTTAAAGCCGTGTTTAAACTTTCTCAAACCAAACCATACCATTTTATGTTAAAATTTACTCAAACCAAACTATACCTTCAAATTCATTTTTAGGTTTAAAGAAAACCTAATTCCAATCCGTTTACGTTTTTGTTGAATTCTAACTGTGCAGGGGGGGGGGGGGGGGGTGGTTGGCAACACTTGTTTTTGAAACCCCATTTTATTTGCAATTAAACCTATTTCGATTATTCAGTTATACAGGTCGTTAACTTGGGTGAGGTTCTGCACAAATTTAAACACGGCTTAAGTTTATGTCTTTATGGCTACGATTACGAACGAACAAGGACTACGTTTATGTGAACAGAACGTTGTTGTCGTCATAATATGAATATTGTGTAATGCTTTTATATTTGATATTTCTTGAGCATTATTATTATTATTATTATTATTATTTTATAAACGCTCCGGGTCTACATTAAGACGACAATGAGGCCTATCGTGTTCGAACGTCTTTATTTTGCCAAATAAAAACTCTACAATGTAAATTGTGTGCAATAATTGCTCCTTAGTTGAATAACGTAAGAAAAAATTAACCATTTTCATGAAGATCCTTTCAGGCTGGTTTTTGGCCAAACCTTTTAGCATTGATCTCCCAGAATAATCTGAAGGATACCAATTTACAGAGGACATATTAAAAAAGATACTTATTCAAAGTCAAAAGACTACCACACGCCGTTCGAGACAAGAACCCACGACCACCATCGACATAGAGAAGCAAAACGATATCATTCTGACGCTCTATTCGACTGTTACAGCCTGTCCTAAAAAGGCACGTAGTTCAGTCAAATATATCTAGTTGCGTCAGATGCATAACTAAAGCTCATAAAGCTCCATTTTAATATGTAATTTCACTACCCCACTACATCCAAATCTAATATCTTTGGACTAGCTAATGCTTACAAAAGAGCACCAAGATATGTGTTGCTAGCGAGATGGAATCGAAGGATGACGCTATCTGATGATGACGTGTTTCCACATCCGTCATGGCCATAACCCCAGAGACAAGAAGGTCTTTTGTGACAGATGTCAACCATTGGAGTCGGGAACTAATTTGTAACGTGTGTTTGGAATATTTCACCAACCCCCATACCCTTCATTGTGGACACTCATTTTGTCTGTGGTAAGTAAAATCTTGTGTTTGTTGTTGCTCTCGGCTGTAGTCGTAGAAATTGTTTCTCCACGGCATTTGGCCTGCAGTTCAATACGTTCGAAGTCAATGCCTTGTTGTGTGCAGTGGGGAAAGTTTGTCCAGACAGCGACTCATAGTTTCAGAAGAATGAAATCTAAATAAGTAAATAAAGCAAGACGATCCTATGTTTTGTATCTTCAATAATTTATTTTTAGTTGTGTCAAAAGATTGGCCCTAACAGCCCGAGATTTCAACTGTACCTCAAAACTCAGTAAGATCAAGTTTCGGTGTCCGACATGTCGATATGGTACCTCCGTGGAGCCTATAATCAAACAGTCCGTACCTGTATCTTATGGGTTACGAGATGTCGTAGAGGGATGGAAACGGGAAAAGAAACAGGTAAGCTTACGTCGAAACTGGTGTCCGATGTTATTTCTGTGACTGGCGTGAGGGGCTGGGGTGGCGATGAACGGGTGTCTGTCCCAATGAAGACGATTTTCAATGTATACTTTTAAAAGAGATCTACATCTAATATTATGTTTTTATGTGGACCCAAACCGACGTTCAACTTTTTTTATATTCACTCTTTTTGTTTTCAGTTCTGTGATGAGAATGGGGTCACTGACCTACGATCAATCGGAACGCAAACACCCAGTGTCTACGATGCGACGGAAGTGAGCGAACCAGACACTTTTGAACGCTTGTATCCAGGTGTAGCCTACATCAAGAAAGCTATGGACGTAACCGAGTCGGACGATTCAAGTAATGACGGAGCCACAGTGATGCCGAAAAGCAGCACATCTGTGGAAACCAACAGCAGCTCGCATAACCCGGAATCGGAATCGGAGTGGGAAAATTTTAATAATTTAGATCAACCGGAAGCGGATCAAGATCAACCGGAAGCTGCGCAAGAGAATGCTGATAACGGGCTGGAGATTTTATGGTCTCCCGGTCGAGTTGCACTAACCGTTTTTTGGTTTATATATACTATCACTGTGTCGGTAGTGGCCAATGGGTTTCTACCTTATATGTTGTTATATACTCTTATGTTTGTCCTTATTTTATACACCGAAACAGTACAACGTAATACATTATGATTTTGTACGTTTGGTTTTCTGTTGATTCATTCTAGGTAGCCAGGGTGGTCCAGCAAGTGTTTAAAGACTCGTAGCGACTTACTAAGACCACCTGGAAAACTTCGACTGATGAGTTTAAAGTGTCCCTTTCTGCTACACCATAAGGTGTCTTGTTTTGCCCTACCAATTCCCCCACTCCCTCCCACAACAATTTCAGCCTCCCCGAGACCCGGGGTTACTTACAATTCCTTGAAGCTTCCCCAAGAAATTTTCTTAGGCCATTCTTGAGCGGAACGTTTAGCTTGATTGAGAAAGGTTGGGGACATATAGATTATCTCAATATTTATGTAGCTTCTGCAATGTGGTAAAAAATTGATGTAGACCTCTGACACATATCGATATACCATACAGTAATTATCGCCCTTGTTATTCAATATAATGTCATGGTGTCCCAATTGTTTATATAAGTAGACCATCTAATCAGTGAGGTCAGTTGTAATCTACTACTGTATATTCCCAATTTATAATCGTCAACTATGATTGTTCGTCGTTTACTTTTGCTTTCGTGTTTTGTTGTCTGTGTACAATGTAAACAACCAAATATTCTGTTCATAGTCGCTGATGATTTGGGTAGGTGTCCTTTTCTTTCTTGACTTATATCTAAATCCATGGTCAGTGCTTTTATAAGTTGACCCATTGTGGGGCTCTTAACTACTGCAAGGTACTATAAAGGACTTTAAAGTGATACAGTCGACTAAGTATCAGCTTATGGGTAGCCCGAAATCGGCTGACTACGTGGAGGCAGTCGGTAAATAGTCAGCTAGCTTTGGACTAATTAAACAGAGGGGTTTCTACGGAGAGCGAAGGGGTTGCATGCCCCCCCCCCCTCTCTTTTTGAATAATTGTTTGACCACCACCCCCCCCCCCCCCCCCCTTACGCATATAAGGGCGTAAAACTCAATTTCATTTCGTATTATAGGATGGAACGATGTCAGTTTCCGGAATCCCAATATGATAACCCCAAACATAGACAGATTAGCTAAACAGGGAGTTATATTTGACAGTTCTTATGCTCTTCCCGCGGGCTGCCCGTAAGTTAGTTTTCGTTTTTCTTCGACTACTAATTATGCAGATAATGAAAAGTCACATAATAGCGTCACAAACACGAACACGTGAGAGTGAGACACTTATGCGATTGGGTTTGTCAATTCGATATACCGTGTGAGAGTCCACATGGATAATGCTTCTGGTCGTTTTGATAGATCGAATCCATGACGCCATGTATCGGATTGTACACAACAAAACTTTTGGAGAAAGGCAAATAGGCACAGATCTCCCATTAAATTTCCCCCATGGTACACTGCAGTGCGTTACCTATATCGATTAGTAACATGAGGTTCTGAAGATTATGACGTAAAAATCTATTTTTCAGGTCACGTTCCGCGTTTCTGTCAGGGAAATATCCCTTTAGGACAGGTTTACAGGTGAGTTGTGCTCATTTAGGTAATAACAGAGTTTCTTCCCTCTACTACCGATAGAAACAGAGTTGTGCCCCTTCTCTTGACTAGGCTTTGTTTAAGGGAGACAACTTCGGTAATAACAGAGTTTATTGCCCTTAATTCTTATATTAATAGCATTATGCCCCTTTATATGGCCATTGATAGGCTTCAATGAAGGGCAGTAACTCTTAGTGAACATCTTTTCAAGGAAACCAATAGAAAATTTAAACCATACGGAATAAAGCATAGTATCCCTTTGCGGCTTCCAATTTATGCACTTTTGTGACTGACTGTGTGTTATTTTACAGCATGTAGGTATCCAGCCGTACCAGAACGTATGTTTACCATTAGAGATTACTACATTACCTCAACAGTTAAAGAACGCAGGTTACTCAACCCATGCTGTAGGCAAGTATGTACTACCCTCGTGGCCATAATAGGTTAAAAATCAACCATTTTGTACTTTGATAAACGTGAAATTGCAAGACAAACAGACAAATTGGAAAGGTGCAAACTGCTCCTATCAGTGTCCCCGATATACATAAAAAGTTAAGAAAACCTTACAATACCTTTATTATATTTCCATCGTTATGTTTCAGGTGGCATCTCGGTTTCTGTAATTTAAACTGTACACCGACCTATCGAGGTTTTGACTCGTTTTTAGGATATTACAATGCTAAAGAAGATCACTATACTCACGACTCGGGTAAGACTGGACGCACTCCCAAATTATTCTAGGTAACAGGCCTCCAACGTACCTGTACGTCAGCCAATAAATGATAATAAATGAAGCCAAGTGAAGACTACATACGTCTGTAGTGTAGTGTAGATAATCCAAACTAAAGGTGTCCTCACACCAAAGCGATTACTAGTAGCGTATGGTTGTAAATATTGAAGTGGTCAAGAATACTGAGTTGCGTTCGAAACTTATGCCCGCTGATCTTATTCGCAAACATACGCTATAGTGATCACTATGGTGTGAAGGCCCATTAACTAATGAACACAAGTTGAAAACTAATCACCTGTATTGAAAGGGTTAACATGACAAAATCTCACAAGGACTATACTATAACTTACTATACAAATGACAAATAACTCGCAAATTAAATTCTAAAAGGGGTAATATCCTCCCCCCCCCCCTCTCTCTCTCTCTCATGCCATTCGTTATCAATCTGAGCAAATGAAATAAATTAAGCGAAAGCATCCCTTTCGAAGGGTCCTTATAGCTATGTTGAATTAATGACCAAATATTCCAGATGACCAATTTCTTGTTTCAGGACAATTCTATGATCTACACGATGACCAAAGACCAGCATGGGAATATCAGGGCAAATATTCAACGGTAAGAAACAACTTTATCTCTTCAGGGTCAAGGCCAACTTATATCCATCCATTTGCCATCAAGGGAGCAATTGCATTGGTCCAGTCCCTGAAGTTGTAGAGTTGATAGTTATATACGGTGGGGCTACCGTGGATTTTGTACCACAAATCATTATTCGGCCAGCAGAACACATTATGTAATGATATGCGTCTAACTTTAGATGCGGTTTACACTCGCAATTGTACTGTACCTTGGTACAGTGTAATGATTTCAGCTAGACATGGGAAAAAGGGTGATATCTGTTTATGTCTTGGCACTGAAGGATCTTGCTAGTTACACAGATGAATAAACTGTAATGGCCTCTATCGTCCAGTCCCATTATGTCTACCTAGTTGTGACAATAGACAGTCTGGATGTCAGAGGCTAAAGCTGTAATTATTTCCTCTACTTTTCTTTTCAGTTTTTCTTCACAACTCGAGCCCAGGAAATAATTTCAGCCCACGATGTCAATACACCACTGTTTTTGTATTTACCATTTCAAAATCCACACGGACCTGTTGAGGTAGGGATCACTGTTCACTTACCCTTTTAAGGGGATACAATCATAAAAAAGTTTGTCAATGTGGAACTTAAATAATGAAGAACATCGTAGTTAAACCGCACCCCATATCAATACATACAAGGGACAATGGTTCACTTATTCCAAATAAGGACGTGAAATCTTAACCAATCAAAATTTGATTTATTTAAGGTACCGTCGATTTACTCTGATTTATATCCTAATGTTGTAAATAATGGAAGAAAGATCTTTTCTGGTGAGTCTTTTTGATCATTCAATGTGTCACGTCATGTCACGCTGCGTCACTTCGCATCACGCTTTATTGAGATACATCACGTTACATCACGCTACGTCGCATCACGTCACGCTGTATCGCATCACACTGTTTCGCTTTATGTCACGTCACGTCACGCTGCGCCACGTCTCACTTTTTCGCTTCACGCCGGGTTGTGTTTTGTATGTTACGTGACATGCCACATTATGTTATTTCTCTATAGGTATGGTAACCATATTAGACGAAGCTATAGGTAATATTACTCAAACTCTGGACGATAAAGGAATTCTACAAGATACCCTGATACTCTTCACTTCTGATGTAAGTTGTTAGTCTAGCTTTCAAAATCATAATCCGTTCGCTGCCAATTTATTATGACAAACCGTCAACAGTGAAGTTTCGAATTGAAATCACTTGATACTAATACTGCATGCGTAATCCAACTTGATACCACCAGAAAAGATGAAACTACTGTGCGACATGGTTTACCAACCTCAGCATCGATTCAGAGAGTTCACATGTAGCTAAAACATTCCTGTTTATAATTCCAGAATGGTGCCGAACTATTAAATTATGGTAACAACTATCCTCTACGGGGATCAAAACACAGTTTATGGGAGGGCGGTACCCGAGTAACAGCTTTTATGTCGGGGTACGGTCTTCAACAGACAGGCATCACTTATAAAGGGTAAGACACATAGACTAGTTTAAACGAGTGTCATACTGTTCATTGTCGAGCCTGTTAACCAGAATTTAAGCAGATTTAATGATGGCATTGTAAATTGTAAATTGTTCTGAATTGGAATATCATCAGCTGCTGGACATCGATGTTCCCTAGGCAGTTCTAAAGCTTGTTACTTTAATCTCCGGAGTATAAGAAGCTTTGTCTTATATTAAGTGTGCCGATAAGCGAGGTCCTTTTTACAGAAAGCTATTATTAAAATTGATTAAACTATTATTTTTTTCAGATTGATCCATGCTATAGATTGGATGCCGACATTAATTGGGGCTGCAGGCGCAGAACAAGGTATACAGTGCGTTTTATTTCAATCACATGCATATGACCACGTGGACCTTTTCAGCTGAGGTAAATCTTCCCCTTGTTACCTCACTTGAAAGTGATTTGAAACAAATGAAACGGAATGGAGTTTTACGTCCTGCTTTTCTGTTTCTGGTTAAGATTTAAATTAGATTACAATCTTTTTTGGTTATTGATTTTCTTTGGTCGTCCATTGTAATCCTGAAGTAGAGACGACTTCGGCCTGTGCAGCAGATCTGAACTTAAAGACCTCCCAAGTTAGCTTTTTTCGCTCGCATCCTTTCTAGCAAAAGTGTTTTTGACTCTTATAGTTCTTGGTATGGATGGAATCAACCAATGGGACGCCATCAGAATGAACATACCGTCCAATAGAACGGAGTTTATCTATAACCTTGATGATTTTGAGATACCCAGTCAGGGGCATGCTGGGATAAGGTAGGCATTTCCGGTAGTACCCTTTTGATATTATCAACCATTAGTTCATTTACCACTCAATAAACTACATTGTTACTTGATTTATGCTACCCTTGATTTTGCTCTTCATTTTTGAAAAGAGATACAGGTAGCTAAAAATTGACGCCTGTATCCCTTTAAATCCTTCAAAAATAGAATTCTCTCAAACCCGCCTAATTTATCTTTCCCAGAGTAGGCGATATGAAGCTGCTGTTAGGATATCCAGGAACGTTTGATGGTTGGTACACACCAATGAATGATACTACCGATACACCGGTTTATGAGATGGTTTATAATCCTTCTCATCCTGATATTCCAGCTAGGCTCTTCAATATCACTGGTAGGATATATTCAAAGTTCCATATCACTCTGCGAATGAGTTTTTCAGCTTTCAGAGAGTCCACAATGCCCAAAATACCCATTTGACGTTTAGGCTATATTATTCCCGAATAAGATATAATCCATAAGAGATCGGACATAATGCTACCTGGTAAGATCCTGAGAAATCCAAGATGTCTTTTGTGCCATATTTGATATCAGCTCACTAATAATGGACGTCAATAATTTTTCTTTTCCAGCCGATCCTACAGAACGTAATGACATGGCAACAACTAATCCTGATATTGTGAAAGATCTGACTTCCAGGATTACTGCTAACAGAAAGCTGATGGTACCAGCCAAGTATCCTACGGATGATCCTAAAGCTAAAACTATAGCTGAAGACAATGGCGGGGTGTTCTCGCCAGGATGGTGTTAGGGCCTCATTGCATACTGCATGGCGTTGCTCACTCCAAGTACAGAAAAGTAGGACGTAAAACGCTATTTCATTTCATCTCATTATTTCCTTTTTATGATGTTAATTGTTGAATCGTCTCCCTATGCATCTGCATCTATTATGTATTTGTACCGTGTTTCACTCTATTAGGTAATATTCTGAGATAATAAATATTCTTGATGGCACCTGATTTCAAACCGACCAATCAACATCCTTCTATATACGATTTTTTTGGTAAAAAAACAATACGAAACTCGTAGATATTATTCAAGTAAGGAGAACCCATGGTCTCTCGTATAAAAAAAATGGACCTATTTATTGGTTAGAATTCACTCAAACGAATCTATTTGGATAAAGGAAACCACAAAATAAGGCAGTGATGGAAGAAAGAATGAAAACTGAATTATGTGAAATAATTTATTCATTTAACAAGTTCGTCCGGATTGTGCTTGGCCTTTTTCTTACAAAAAATATTTCAAAACTGAATTGGCATTAGTTGGTCTGTGGGGTGCGGTTTCCATATCGGCATCTCAGACCAACAGTGACCAATAACCAAATGGCAGTTCGTCACTATTGACTGGGAAACCTCTGTAAACAAATACTGAATCTTTTAGACTGTCTTTAATTAATGTTCACTCCTCAGTTTGGCAAGCTCTTTGTAGGGTATAATTCTGCACAATATACACGCAATTATACGGTATATAATATAAAAAAAATCACCCTTTCCTAAGGAAAGATGGTTGAAAACCCTACCTTTTTTTTTAAAATATGATTATTTTGGACTTCTCTCCCTGCATTTTGCATTTTCAGCAGAAATTTATATCACCTGAATGCTTGAAAAATAACATTATCAACAAATAATAAAATATAACATACCTACATGTTTTTTTAGGTTCTGTTTTAAAATTTCTAATACTATATTTTAGTTTAAAAATATTATTTTTTTTTATCCATAAAGTTATAAAAAATGGAATGTTATAAAAAAAAAAAAATTAGAATGAAACATACCTAACCTAAACTTTTAGCTTTTTTGGTCCAATTAATATTTACAAAGTGTATCTATTTGTTTATGAAGTGCGTCTCAGCAGGTTAAACCTTGTATCACAGCTACAAACTTTAAAAATTGTGACCAAAACAAGACTTTTCAAACACCTTAAGCTTTGCTAGATAGTTGATAAAAATATCTTTGATAAAATATTATGCTAAATTCATATAAAATAAGTAAAAATTGTGTTTTCCTGATTTTTAAATAAAATAGGCAAATACTTTCAGGCAAGTAAAATTGGCTCCTTTGTTAATCAAACGAGTCCATCACATATGGGTTGAGTCCATGTAACGTTAATGAAGTCCATCGCATATATGCATATATATACTTAATGACTCCATCATACCCTAAATGAGTCCATCAGACATCTTACATGTGAATCACTAGATGAGCTCATCACATACCAAGTGAGTCAATAACACATGAGAGGAGTCCATCAGGCGTTAGCCATGTCCATCACAAATTCAATTACTTAATTCCATCTCTTATAGGATGAAATTATATGTCCGATGACGTCACCATCCATCAGCAATGTATCACATTGCAATCATACATTATAGTCTATCATATATTAAAGGTGTTCATTACACATTAGAGTCCATCACACACTGAAGGAGTTCGTCACACACTGAAGGAGTCCATCACACTCTGAAGGAGCACTTTACACATTTAAAGGACATCACACTGAGTAGTCCATCACACAGTAAAGGACTCCATCACACTGTAAAGGATTCCATCACATTGTAAAGGATTCCATCACACGGTAAAGGTTTCCATCACATAGTAAAGGATTCCATCACATTGTAAAGGATTCCATCACACAGTAAAGGTTTCCATCACACAGTAAAGGACTCCATCACACTGTAAAGGTTTCCATCACATAGTAAAGGATTCCATCACATTGTAAAGGATTCCATCACACAGTAAAGGATTCCATCAAAGTGTAAAGGACTCCATCACACAGTAAATGATTCCATCACACAGTATAGTCCATCACACAGCAAAGGATTCTATCACACTGTAAAGGATTCCATCACACTGTAAAGGATTTTATCACACTGTAAAGGATTCCATCACACTGTAAAGGACTCCATCACACATTAAAGGATTTTATCACACATGAGAAGATTCCATCACGACTGGATCATCATTCTGTTCATTATGATCAGCAGTCACTAAGAGAATCTGTGATCCATGATGCGGTTTTCCAGGTTTCGATCGCTTCCTAGTCCTTGATGACTTTTCTTCTTCCCACTTAATTTGAGTAAATGGGTCATTATATACAAATTTGCCCGGAAGTTTGGACTCAGGATGTGGTACTGGTACACTGCTGGACAGTGATTCGCCCTCGCTTGTATCGTCAGGCGTGTTGATTGGGTGTATCTTATTATCAGGATGTAGTCCAATCGTTTTTGATTTGGGAAATATTGGTGGAAGAGAATCCCATGATCCTCCTGGCATTGACGTCTGCTGCAAATCTTCCTTTTTGGTCATTTTTGGACTTTCCTTTGAGACTGTGGACATTTTTCTTCCTAAAAATGAAATGAACTTTGATGGAAAAAGGAAAAGAGAAAAGTGCCCTGTCAAAAAGTAGGAAGCTTGCATAAATCCGAGACAATAATTTTCAAGGAAAGAAAGAAGCAAGCAGTCGCTTCTTAAAAAGGAAAGCAACATGAGTCCATTAGAATTCTGTCCACCAGCAGGTCCTGTGACAAACCTCTTGGCATTGATCTTTCCCTGATTACTGTACCCATTTAGAGCTGAGTCAACTGGAATAATGAGAAAAGATGACTTATTCAACATTGTCAGATTTTTACATGCTGACTAAGATTAGAACCAAACACCACCATTTGTTTGATGTTACCAAGCAATTGATGCTACAGCCCATCCTTTCAGAGAAAAACAGCCCACACTGCCCTACCTTTATCTATATCCACATCTTTAACCCATGCTATTTTCTCCACGGTAGAGGTCAAGTCCGGCTGTTGTCCCACTATGGAACTCTGGGTATTCGTTCGATGAAACTCTTTAGCGTGTCGTTTCTTTGCCTTTTTTAAGTGGAAGGCTTTTTTGGTCCCCTTTTTCTTGTGAAGGTTTATCTGCACTATTACACTCTTTACTGTTCTCTGCAATGAAAATTGAAAATGTTTTGATAAGGAGATCAAATGGAGTTTTACATCATAGTTTTCTGCACTTCATTGGGCTAATAAGATAGGTAACACAATGCAGTGTTCAATGAGGGAGATTTCGTCAGGATAGTGACAGCGAGTTAGCTATTTATCATTTCTCAACAAAATTTCAAAGTACAATTCTTCGCGTACGCTTTTTTGGAGCAAAAAATTCCAAACCTATGGCAAATTCTTAAGCTTTAAGCTTTGAGGCTTCTTAATCTGAATGAAATACACAGCCTACCTTCCAGTTAGCTTTGGCAGCTTTTGATTGTTTAGCATTTGATTTGTTGGAGGCTTTTATAACCACCAGGGCACGTTTAGTATCTGTGAACTCTATAGAATATTCCCTTTGAAACCTTAACAGTTGTTTTTTAAAAAACCCTCTCTCTAAGACTATCAATATCTTCGCCCACTGAAATATAAAGAATAGATCTAGATCATTGTTGTTTAAACCATGCTCCCTTATCAATAAATGGATGGAAAGTGGTACCCTTTATCCAAATAGCTTTATATGAGGCAGTAAATTTCAACCAATCAAAACAACCAGATGAGTTGCCCACACTTTTCTAATATTCACAATTTTGTGTGTTGATAATTACAAAACAAAATGTAAAAATTAAGCCTATTGATTGGCCAATTTGAAAATCATGTGACACCATGAATATCTATTATCTCAGTCCCAAATATGAGGGTTACCTGCTAAAGAGAAACACGGTAGAAACATTGAGATGGTATGAGATAAAAATTGTAGAGTGGTTACAAAAGTATCTCATGATTTTGGGTGGTCCAATAAGAGTCTCACCTGTCTCCGCCATTCTTTCTCTGATTTAGTTATAATATTATGGTATGTATTTCCCATCATGGCTATTAACATGTTTAACAATAAAATAGGTACTAAGATCATAAAGATAAAAAACTCAAACTTCGTCAACCAAACATATCTCGCGTAATTAAACGTTTCATACTGAAAAATAAAAAATATTCCAACACCATTAATTATTATGTCTCCAAAAACAACAATATTCAAATATCATGTTGGATTCATAACTTCACAAATTAATTCATTGAAAACTGTGATTGGATTGCATCAAAGCAATCTCTTAAAGCTATGTGGACTCTCTGAAAAGGCAGACGGAAAAAGAAATTAACTAGCTTCATGAAGTCTCTGAGGACAATGCCAAGTTCTTCCAAGAATTCTGAAAAGGTGAGCATGGCCAGCCAGCCAGCTAGCCAAAGTAACTTAGTTGAAGCCCTAATTTGACAAAATCAAAAATGAATTGTTACCTTAAATTCTCCGAGAGTCATTTGAAATAGATTCATGATTGTGTCAGGGTACGTGGAGAATTTTAAAACTTCAGTATTGTCTGTCTGTACATCAGCAAATAGAAAATAAAATCCTGAAAAAAAAATTAATTTGTCAGATGCAATGGATTCTGATTATGACCAAGATTTTGGATTTTAAAAATTTTTTTGATAATTTTGGAGATATTGTTAGCTAGAGATGACCAAGTACCAGCTGGTAGACATGATCCTGGAGAACCAAAAATGTTATCCATGACAAGATGTTTGGTTCTTGAGAACCTGAGGGATACTCAGATCGACCCCAAGATTGGCAGAATACTGAAGATCAATTTCAACACACATTCATGACCAAAGTTCTAATTTATGGATAATGCTGTTTAATCTAGAAATAGATAAAGGTTACATGGCTTACCTTGAGTAAAACCAACTAAAAATATAATATATACAATTCCAAATCTGAATAAATCTCTAATACACATTTCATATACCATAGTAACGAACGGACCAGTTAGCCGATATACTCTAAAAATAGAAAGAAAATGGAGTTTTACTTCCTACTGTTCTGTATCTTACTGGACTAATGAAATGGAGTTTTATATACTTTAATGGACCAACGAAATGAATTAAAACTAAAGTCAAATATTCACTTAAACTAGATTGTCCAGTCTCATATATAAGGACAACATAATAAAATAGGTCTGGATAATTTGATCATAAACTCACCTGGCAAAGAAGAGTAGATATATAAAAGAACATGGCACGGCGATGGTGAGTAATGTATCCTCTATATCAGAGAGACCAGTTAATCTCAGTGGAATACACACTAATATTAACGTACAGGCTAATAAATAGATAGCTTGGTCTGGTGCATGTCTCTGGAAGGTAAAAGCACAAATTAACATTGTACAAAAGTTTCTCAATGCCTAATACCTTAAAAAAATTCCTCATATTTGTTTCAACAAGTAGTGGAAGCAGAACTGTCAAGGAAGCTATTGTACCAGTCATTTTGATTACAATGATGATAAAATAAGGAGTATGCTGGTGTTTGCTGTCTCAGTTCCAGGCAGGTTGTGCCCCCCATTCTTGGTCCCTAATAAAAATGCCAGTAGTTAGAGCACACTTACCCAGTTTCTTACGAACAATAAGAATCCAACTCCACTGATTTCTTTGAGTTCTATCATCAGAGTTAGTGAACATATTAAACATGTTAAAATTTCAAATACTAATCGGGCCTGAAATAATAGAATTACAATATTTCAATGTACCATAGATAACATGGTCAGCTTAAAGAATAGAAATCAAGGGAAATAATTAGTGTTTGAAACTGTTGTAAAGTGGTTAAGAGCATTGTCATCTGTACATGACATCATTTGCTTGGTTATGTTGAGCAAATGGTGCCCGTGGGTTCTAATCTTGGTTAGCTTGTGAATGTCAGTCAACCCAGCTGTAAATGAGTACGGATAATCCTGGAAAAATCTGTGTCAAGGGGGATGGACAAGGATCAGCAGGTAGAAAGGATAAGTTGTTATCCTTGTACAAAAAAAATTGTTTTTTGAATATAGCTGTCAGACATCTATCAAATGAACAACAATACTCACTGTATCAGTAGGAGTAGAAATCTCTAGTAGACCGTGTCTCATGGGTCTGGTATAAACACACACAGATATCATAGCAAGATGAATAAATGCAAACAATAAACGCACAATAAACCGATTCTGAAATACAAAACAGTATTTTTAAAACAAAATCCATGCAATGGAAATGGAATCTAGATCTAGGTACAATGAGTTGACAGCTAAAACTGTGTTTTCTCTCAAGAGCACTATCTGTGTCACTAATTAAAAACAGAAATAGCTATGTGGACTGTTGGAAATAAATGCTGGCTGGTAGTCTGGATCCTCATGAACAAGTTGCTGTCCTTGTATGCAAGAATTGTCACAGGCAGCTCACAGCACATGAAATTCCCTATGTAGATTGAAATTTGAAAGCTAAGGACCCAAAGCAAGGACAGCCTCGGTTGTTCTTATGAGTTGAACAATTGTTGTTTTTACCTGACCAAAAGTTTTCCATTTTTCCTCCAGAAGTTGTCTCATAACTCCACCTTCTAACATATCAAGATGGCCGTCTGTTTCTCCATTAACTATTATCATCAGAGCAGACTTGTAATCTGGGATAGAAATTATACCAAACATTTATAAAAGATCCTTATATTTGGAACATCACCCTGAGCTGCAGCTAAGATAGCCAATGCTTTACATAAAGAAAACTAAGTGCTGCAGTAAACCACCATTTTGGTTGAAGACCACATTTGGTTTATGATGGTGTTTAGTTTTTAACATTTATATAAAGGTTTATACTTACTGGCTTTTCCCTCTCTATCTACCGAGTCTAGATTTTCAAGAGGATACATAGAACATGTTATATTGCTGTATTTCCACATGACCTACAAAGGTTAAAAAAATAATGTGATAAGGCAAGCTGCATCATGGGTATTGGGTAAGAGGCATAGTGACAAAGGGCCAATATGGGAATAGGCAAATTGGGAAGACACTGGGGACTTTCTGAAGGGATGTCAGATTGACAAACCAAGCCACAAATATACCGGTATCCCAAAAGGGTGAGCACTTATTTTGAACCTTCTGCACTTCCATAAAGCTAGACTTTCGGAGAGTCCACATAGCTAACAACATATATATGGGACACTCGTTTGTTAATTTGGCATCCCTTTCAGAGAGTCCACAAAGCTACTATTGTCTCTATGGTATATCTATTAATTCCATTTCATAAAAATACTTTATTAAAGAGCTCTCCACTCACCATACTGTCGATTTCTAACATTTCAGAGAAGATCTGTTGTCGACCTAATTTACTAGCCAATGTTAACGGTGTCAGACCTGCGTTGTTTTCTATATCTTTATTGGCCTTCTTCGTTAAATGTTGTACTGCATATTTATACATTTTCTGAAAAAGAGATTGCGTCTTTGGGCCTCTTTTTTGTAGTATTCCAGTCAATTCAGTCTACCCAGGTGTAAATGGACATGGATAATCTTGAAAAGAATGCCAAGAGGTTTGGTCAAGGACTAGCTGGTTGATAGGATCCCCTAGAACCTAAGATTTAAGATCATTGCTAAGAGAGATGGTCAAGGACCAGCTGGTAGAAAGGATCACAAAAAGGATGGCCGCTGACCAGTTGGTAGACAGGTTCCTCAAAAACCTATGTTGTTACTTCAAACTCATTATCAAGAGGTTTGGCCACAGACCAGTTAGTAGAAAGGATCATCCTAGTTTTCATCCATGTTGATGCATCATTCTGTTGTTTCTTACATACATAAGTGCGCATTATACAGAGGGGCGTTTTATACTCGGAATTATACAGTATACAATAGACTACTCACTGGCTGATGGCAGATAACTGTCATATGTAAGACAGTGTTACCAAAGGAATCCTTCAGGTCTGGATCAGCCCCATTCTCTAACAGATGGTCATAGATTTCTTGGAAGTTAAAAGAGGCTGCGAAGGCTAGAGGGTATTCACCATAATACGCATAACCTGTAGTGATAACATGGACAGAATATAGAGGATGGAAACCCAGGGTGGACTGAGGGGCTGGACAATTGATCATGGTAAGAGGTCCCAGATTAGTCAGGGGCCCTTCGATTCAAAGAAGTGAAAGGCGTCCCACTTGTGCACTAGAAATCCTAGTTACCCTGAACTTACCGAAATAGTCTGTATTTTTGGGATCTTTACCATGTTTGACATCTTCTGGGAGAAAGAAACGACCTGAAGCTCTCTGGTTAACCAAGGCTCCCTGTTTTACTAATAGTTTAACTGTTTCTAAATCATTATTCACTACTGCTATATGTAATGCACTTTCTCCTAAAAATAAGCAAAAATAAACGTTAAACAGCTGATATACCTGTAAAAGAAAAAAAAAATTATCAGTAGCTGTGTGCTGCCAATTTGAATCTTCCTTAAGGTAAAAACTATTCTGATACCACTGCCAGTTCTTCTGAAAATCAGCCAGCTTGCAACAGCTTGATCAAGTAGCCATTTCTGTTTTTGCTCACTGTTTCGTGACATGTTTTTATGTTTTTTTCTGTATTAGTCAATGGTAAAAATTCTAAAGCTGGTACGCAATGTATTACGATTTTTTGTGGGATTTCTGGTTAGAACTTTGGATTTTTATCGTGCTAAGAAAACAGTATTTATTATAGGCCTTGTGTTACAAATAATACTATAAACTCACCAAAGTATTCATTGCCTTCGTAAACATCCAGTGACATTCTAGGGTAGAGCTCCAGAAAGATCTTTCCCACAGCAGTATGTTCCTTGGTGCCCATGAGAAACAGAAGATGGAAGGGGGTCTCCCCCACCCCACCACGTTTATTGAGGTCCCAGCATGCATCATGTTGTTGAAACTCGCAGAAATTATCAATTTTAAACTGATTCAGATCATCTTGAGAAACAGTCTGGAAAATATAGACTATGTGTTAAAAAAAATGAGTCAATTGACGATTTATTACCTATATGGTAGTTGAGGGTTTCGCTTGCAAAGCAGACCATACTTTCAAAACACCTGATGGTACTTCTCTTTGGAGGAGTTCACTACTATACAACTTAATTGACTCTTAATTTTTCCATGCTTTGGATGGGATTTTGATTAATGGAATTGTCTTGCTTGAACAGATTTCAAACCCTTGAGTTGTGGATCAATATTTTTGCAGCTATCCACCTACACAATTTATGTCACGTCTGCGGTTCCATCAAAGTTTTTTTTTTGAACGAAACAAATCTCTCACTTGTTATCAAAGACTACTTGCCTGGTTTTCATCAAGGCCTTTATACCATTTGTAATATTCTAACTTTGTAACAGTCTTCCCTTGTCCTGTATGATACAAATACTGTTTTTCGATATCCCTTCTTATAGTCTCAATCACTTTGTCTCTTCCGAACTCACGGTACTGGTCGATCAAGATACCAGTTTGGTCGATGCTAGCGAATTTATAGATTGGGTTGGTCTGGATTGCTTTATTTTGAGCTTTGAAGGCACAGTCCGGGTCTGCTTCCGTCTGCTGAGAACAAAACAGTTTGTTCCACATCTTACAAATTTATGTCATGGCTTCGATTGGTTGTTGTACTGAAATTATTGAGGAAATAAGAGTTATACCCCCCTATAAGAAATACAATGTGACTTTAATGACCCGATCCCGACAATTATCAGCATTGTGCAATGAGGGAAATTTTATCAGCATTTTGTGGTAATTGTAGACAGCTAATTCAAGTAAATGTCGATTACATGTCATGGGTTCGAAAACTTCAGATGACATGGCCATTACTTCTATGAGTCATTCCGATGATGGGTTCCATCCCCTTTCACCTTTTTCAACGAACACTGCACTAAAGACTCTGCATTAGTAACGACTAAAAGTTTTCGAGTTAATTTCCGAGAGCACATAATTCCGGTCAGTTTCTACTGCAGCACACGATAAACAACACGTTTGATATTGATAAGGCAATAAATAAACATTATTGAATTTCATTCGAGAATTAAAAACTATTATACACAAACTCGACAACTTAGCTATTTATCTTAGTCATAAATTAACCCACACATAAAAATCGACGATGATTTCATTACTTACCTGTGTTCTGATCCTTGCTAATCAAAAGTCGCCATCTTGATTTACCTGGGATCACGTGATCTGTCGTTTAGATCAACAAATAATACTGCGAACCTAATCAATGAAAACGCCAACTATTTCACCTACATATTTCTACCATTATCCTTAATTATGGGAGGGGTCAAGATGGGTGGCATACCTTGGATTAAAGGGAAAATCCCCCTCGATCGTTTCACGATTAGGCTAATAGCGAGGGGGAGGGGTATTGCCCCGTAGAAAAGACCATCGAGTCGAGATTGGTGACACGTACCTTGAATTAAAGAGTTAATCCCTTACGCTTAACGATTAGTTTTTACCCCCACAACGCAAGCCCCCCGCCCCCACCCCCCCCCCCCCTTCTCTCTCTCTCTCTCTCTCTCTCTCTCTCTCTCTCTCTCTCTTTCACTTAACAATTAAGTCATCTGAGGACGAGCCAATCAAAAATGTAGGCTTTTGTAGCCTCGTCGGTTCTAATTTAACACAAGGTTACTATGCATTAAATATAGGGGTTTTTTCTTGATCGGATTGAAATAGTTATGTGGTTATACCCCTTTAAAGCAGGGTCAATTGGGTAATGTGAGTAGGAAAATTTAAAAATTACCAAAGCTATTTAAAAAGGTAGTCCGAAACTCATTTTTCATACCTGGTAGATATTTATGACAGATGACGTCCAGCTAAGCTCAAAGAAACGTTTAATATGTATTTCTTATATTCTAACAAATGAAGAAAATCCTTATTGTATTGAAATTAGCTGTATAGAAGATTGTTATTCCATCCATCCATAACACTTTTAAGAAACGACATGCTGTTTGTAGGCAATTGAATAGAAACAAACAATTTGACTTTAGCCTTGCTTTCCAAGCAATAATATAATTGTTATGAGCAGATATTACCATGACATCTTTATTTAGGTTATTCTAAGTGAGATTTGATTGCGTACAAACCCCAAGTCAGATTTTCATTTTACTGTTTGTTTGGTAGTTAAGAATTCGTAACATCATTTCCGGTGGAATAGTGGTGAAACTCGGCGTGTGTTTCGGACTAGAGAACAATATGTGTACTATACAATTTATCAATTGGTGCAACGAGATCTCAGTAATTATTGTCAATATAGCCGTTACTATGTACATTTATTATTATTTTCAATGTTCAATGGAAAAACACTTATAAATGTCGGACATTCTTTTAATCTTTATATCGGTCATAGAGTATAGGGTTACATATAGCTAAAGGAATATGCTAGTCCTCTCAATTGGCCCTAATTCAGCTATTTGTATGACTTTTTAAAATTGAATCTCGACGTCTTGTTCGTCTACAAGTATTCATGTATCATTTGCCAGTGTTCATACATATTTGATTACAAAAGAAAATGGATACGTGCAAGCGTGTTGATTGGTAGGTTTGGAAATCATGTTACATTACCTCGGTCCAAAATATGAGATTTACTTGTTAAAGTGAAACACGGCAGAAATATATAGTAGTTTCGAACGTGTTGAAGCGACGACCATGTAGCCCTATCAGAATGAGCGAATGTTAACGAATAGGCATACGGGTAACGCAAATATTTAGACGACGTTGGATATCACATAGGCATATTTTAATATTAAGCGTTCTATCATACAATAGAAGAAATATTTTGAAATAATTGTCTAAACGGAGAGTTAGAACGATAGAAAACAGGCGGCTGGCCGAGGGGAGCGAACACTACAATGTCCACAGGACCTTGATATTCTTTACCAGACCACAGGTGAATCCAGGAGGAGTTCAAATCATGGGGTAGGTACACATTCCAATGTTCCCGGAAGTCTTCGATTACTGGTGCCAGAATTAGATCATCACCGAACAGAAACTGATAGGTGGTGTTATATGTTCTGCTATCATCGGGATAATTAAAGAACACTGGTTTAAAGACCGGGATACCGAATTTCACAGTCCGTTCGACCACGCTTTTCGTGTATGGTTTCAACATTACGAATATCCGAGCCAATCTAGAAACCTTCTTGGATATTTTGGGTGAGGAATAAAATTGGGCATTCGCTTCTGGTTGATTCCCTGAAAAATATTAACCATCCAAAATTCATATACAATGCGGACCCTCAAAATTTGTTTTCGAATGGATGCACTCTGTTGTGAAGGAGCCTCAGCTCAAGGAAGACTGAAAAAGGTTGGAGAAGCACATAACCTAATTTCGATAGCAAGGAAGTCCGCATGTCTGATCGTTGAATGATCATGATCGTGATCGTGATCGTGATCGTGATCATGATCATCATGATCATCATCAGCATTGTATCCTATAATAGTTGGACTGACGAATCACTTGGATTCCCTTTATATTTTCTTTTACAGGCTGATATGCATTTACCTTGGTGTGTTCGAAACATCGGTCCGAATGCAGCCAACTCCGCCGATCGGAGAAGCAGTTCCTCTCGTCGTACCAGTAACGGACTAAACGTGGTGTAACCTCCGATATCAAAATGTGTAATACCGACCCCACTGAGCCCCATATTTAAACTGGCTGGTATAGTAGAGGCTAGACCATCACCGTACGAAAAGTCCACATCTTGGTCTCCTGCCCACATTAATGTTGTGTAATTTCCGGTTCCTGTCAATACAAAGAGACGCCGTAAAGAATTGGGCCATATGGTCTTAAGGTGTAATCAAACCGCACCTTGATTGTGGTTAAGAATCAGCTATTGGACAACTTAAGTTGTTATCCTTGTAACATCATTGTCAAGAGAACTCGTGGATAGACTCCTTGAGAATCTTGTTGTTAACCCTGTAAAAGAGGATTGGTCAAGGACCAACTGGACGACAAAATCCCAAAGGAATGTCATCCTTGTAAAATCAACTCCGAGGGAGTTGATCAAGGATCAGCTGGTAGAAAGAATCTTCAAGAACCTTAATTATCCTTGTGCATGACATCATTGCCAAGAGGTTTGGTCAAGGATCAGCTAGCAGGCAGGATCATTGAGAGCCTAAGCTGCCATCCTTCTAAAAACCGTTGCCTAGGGTTTTGATTAAGGATTAGCTGGTAGAAAGGAACCTCATATCCTTGTAAAAATAGCAGTCGAGAGTTCTTCTTACCTGAAAACCCAGCTCTCATGAAGAATATAATATCGCCAAGTTTCTCCGATTCCTCCACAGCTTCTCTGTTGAGTCTAGCCCAAAGGACTGGCCATTGGTTGTGTACCATGGACGCTGGTTGGTTATTGTAGAGAACAGCATCTACTGGTAGATATTCACTAAAATCCGCCATCCATCCTCCCAGTCCCAACTTGATCATGTTTTCTTTTATAACACCTGGAATTCAGTGGCGTTTTTATGACTGTGGACTGAGCATGGGTCACAGAATCATCAATCATCATAGACAATTCCCCCGTGTATAATGACGTGTATAATGATCTGAAATTGTGTATGTGGAAATGGGACAAAGTTGGAAAAGCCTCTTTTCTGTACTGGACGAAAAGTAACTGTAGCTCGGCAAATTCTTAACAAGCAAGGTCCTAAGGTCCCAAATGCTGAAGAATCTTCACTCGTATAACACTACGAGATCCAATAATTTCAGAATAAATTCGTTATAAGGAACGAGGAGCATAGACGAATTCCTCTAGTGGTGGTGATAGAATACAAGTTCACGTCCGCGTCCGGCAGAAGCTGATACCGCAGATGAATTCCGCTGGATACTTACCGTTTTTGTACCAGTTGAAAGCGTCTGGATTGGTAAGATCTACAGAACCACCAAGGATACCCTCGAAGTCTAAGATATATGTTTGGTTGGTGGCGTTCTTCACTAGATACCCCATAGAATCAGCGTATTTATACAGATCCCCTTCTATAGTCAGGTACGGATTGATATAGCCCAATACTCGTATATTCTGTGTTTGTAGATTGACGATTGCTTTATCTAAACCTGAAGAAACAGCACAATTATCTGGCTAATAGCAAAGTGATCTATGAAATGTCAAATTCTTAGGAAAGGGAGTAATCTCAAGCTATACTACAAAGAATTACCAGTGAAATTGGATACATCAGTCATTTGGAATCGTTTTGATGTTAGCCTTTCTTGTCAAAAGATTCGGGAACTTTATGCATCAAAGAGACCTTGGGTATCAGCAATGAGGACATGGGGCCTACAGAGTTAAAATGCCTGAATCAAGTCGTGAAATCCCATCAGATCTTACCTGGATAAACGGTTTCATTCCAGCGCCAATTCCAAAATAATCGTTTACCCAACAGGTTTTCAGTATAGCCTGCCCAATCTTGTATCCATACCCCAGTTACTGGAATATTGTAGTTCTTGGAATAGGATACATAGTCCAGCATCTGCAAAAAAAAAGAAAATAACAATCAGGTTCATGGACTAGTTGGACAAACTCAATCCCAGAATAACAGCAGACGTTCTGGAAGTCAACCATGGGTGTACACCTTTGGAACGTATCGATTCCAAAGAAGGAGAAGGCTCCTTGTAAGACACAATATCAGATCAGATCACATATGGTACTACAACTATTGGACTGACGTATGTTGGTTTTATTTTTGAATTACCTTTTGTGTTCCACCTTGAACTCCAATGATGGCGCCGTCATAGACCCAATCCGGAAGTGGCGGCATCCTTCCCAAAAACCGTGTCAGCTTGGTGACCAGTTCATCAAAAGAGTTGCCAGTATGGAAATACATCCGTCCTGGTTTACCCTGGATGAAAACCTCATGGAAATCTCGATGACCAAAATCCAAGATGGCGTAGTTGGAACCTCCATGATGGAAGTAGTATTTCTGACTGCTGTAGAAAGTTGGTTGTGGGAAGTATGTGGTGAAGTAGTCCCCTCCGGAATGCCGTAAATCTGTTACAAACGTTACGATATCACTTTTGTTTCTGCCAATTCCTGAAGCAAAAATGATCTTTTTTTTATGGAGTGGAGTTTTACGTCTTAAGAAGCGTTAGATGACACTTAACCAACCTTACGTTCGTAAGATCTATGATTGTCTTGGCATTGATTTAAAAAAAAAATAACAACTTAGGCTCATGTGTCCGGCCCGCGTTTCCTCTGGGAACTTCTCAGCGATGGTATTACAGGGATAGCAACTTGGGTTCCTAAGGGTCCTACCAGCTGGTCCTTGGTGGAAAACCTCTACCCCCTTTCCCATCGCCAGTTCAGATACCTGCGAACCAAGTCTATTGGCTACAATGATCTTTCTTACCCTGCTCCCTAGTCCAGATGGGATATTGTAGTCCTCTGAGATTAAGGTAAGAATATTGTTCCCCACCACCATAAATAGCATCATCAGGTTGAGCTGCGATTTGAACCCAGAGTCGATCATACTGGTCTCCCAGATCACTGATGTCTACAGTCAGTGGATGACCTTCTTCTGATCCCAAATGAACTGATACCTACAAAGAAAAATTCACCTTATAGCATTATAACATTATAGTACGCGATTGCGCATTGGGAGACTCTGGAAGTAGTGCCTATAATGCTTTACAGTATATTTTTCTGGACGACAATACATTTTTCTTCAAGCTGCGCCACCGACAAGAGAACTCGTCAGGATAGGCCCACTTTCCCTAGGCCAACAGTTCAATGATGGTGATCAACTACCGAGAACCTGCATCGGTACCGAAGGACATGCCAAGACCATGGTCTCATTGTATCCTTCTAACTTGAATCAGTAATTACTCGCAGTAAAAGGTAACTGCTCATGGTACAGAAGACGACCCCTTTCCCTCCTTCTCCTTCGATGCCTCCACATCCCGTAAACATTTTGAGCGGTACAGAGGATCAGATGAGATGCCATTCATACACCCACCCCTACGCCCTCTTAATGTAACAGGAGATCAAATGGGATCCTATCAATACATCTCTTATCCTTGAGCTACCTCTATAGTACAGAAGATCAGATGAAATCCCTTACCATCCGCACCCATGTAACCCCCCCCCTCCTTCTCCACCTTCTTCACCTCCACCGCGACTTACCTGAGCGGTACAAAAATACATGGTAATATTAACACCGTTCTTAGTATAAATAACATTTTTATAATTCGATAGTCCAATACGTTGATGCGTGTAGTCGTTTATATCAAAGTTTCCATACGTTTCAGAGAACGTGGTTTCCCCTGATCCGATATAGACGAACGGTCTGTGTGGACTATGCTTGATAATCTGGAAAATATGTATCAAAAGACTTTAACGAAGCTTGATTCTCTAAATGGCAGAACATAACTTTCTTCTGATATTTCGAAATCTTCTACAAGTAATATAGTGACAGTGCAGATTCTATGGATCATAAAGGGGGAGCCGAGAATGAGCTATAGAATTGTCTAGGTAGTGGCTAACACCACCAGGCAATTAAGAACTCAATGATTCAAAATTCGAAACTGAGGAGGGGATTGATCCAGTCTCAGTCTTGATCCCCCATCCCTTAATCATATACCAGTGTGGGTACCCCAAGCTGTTATTGAGGAGGGGGCAGAGTCCCAACTCCCCTGAATACAGTATTAAAATAACAAACTTGCCTCTGTGTTGTTGATGGATACAGTAAAACTGCTTCCATATTCTTTGAAAGTGAATTGTCGACTTCCGGTTGTAATTTCAACAACCAGAAATAGTGCAACTAAAATTATCAACACCGCACTTGAGCATGGCTCCATCATCTACAAGAAAATGTCAAAGCTTTTACCCTCCAATGCTTGTGTGGTATTCAATGTAAATGAATGAAATTAATGGAGTTTTACGTCCTACTCTTCTGCACTTAAGTAATAGTTATTCATGTTACCGAAAACAAGAAAGACAGTAGCTGTTTCGTCTCTGTTGGGTTATCAAACGACCCATTGTGAAAGTTCTGCTGCATCATTTCACGAATACGGGTTTTGACATGGTCTCGGGGAAGTATGACAATGTCGGCGTGGTTTAAGTCGGGAAATTCCGGTACAAGATCTACAAATTCTATAAACAAAATACAAACCTTCGTGTTGATCCTGACAAACCATCCACATCACAATCAGAACATCCACTCCGACATTAAACCTCGACTATATCCCCCTGAGCTGATCATAATTTATTGGTCTTATCTATTTGACTACTGAATTATTTTTATTATTTCATCACTGAATTAGTAATAGGGCATAGATAACTTTTTATGTGTTGGGGTCTTGTCATTCACACATATCCTGTGGGCATTGGCTTTTGAGGGAGGGGGTGGGGGGGGGGGGGGGGTGTGCAAACTGATATCTATTCTACTTAAACTTCCAAAATCGCTATAGATACAGTCTCCTCCTTCCTAGATTAGTAGGGTATCCACAGGGAGGATCGCCCTGACACCTTGATATGACAAATGTCGGCTACAATACACAAAGGACCCCGGAGCTCAGATGACTCACCTCCTCGGTCTATGGAATCCTCGCTACGCTACCTGCCTGTGGGTTCTGGTCTCTCGCCGTTTTCAGCAGTGAATGGTCACGGGCTATCAAATAACCCGTTGCCAACAAGGTTCAGATCATCATCAATTTGATTTGAGAGCTGCTCCGTGTCAGCCATTTAACTGGCCAAACAAATCTGGCACTAGTTCAGTTCCGTAGACGTGACACACGGATGTAATGACTTCCATCACTGACAGGAAGGAATCTGTGCGCAAAAAGGTTGTTTTGACCCCAAACCTACAGCGTCTAGCCTGGAGAACCACCACAGTCAAAAACAAACAAAAACGAGTCAAAGTTTACAAATTATTCATTTATAACAAAACATACTTAAAGAAAATGTTAAGAGGTTTAGTAAATTGTTAATGAATGGCGGGAATCACAGATGCCTGACGTCAGAGTCCCTAATCCATTTACACATAAATGTTAGAAAATCCCTTCAAAATCCCTTTAATGTTACATGATATGACTAATAAAAAAGTTCATTTTTAGTTGTCATTCAACTTTCGCACATCTTCTATGATAATATATCACTCTTTCATCCGAATCTCATCCCAATATTTCATTTAAGAAAGACAATTCATCCCTTGGTGCTAGCACCGGGGCGAAGTGACTTGAGGCGAAGTGTCGTTTATATAAAATTCTACACCAATGATGACAAGATAGCAAGGAATGAAGCGGATATAGTCAGTAACGTAACGGAAGTTAGCACAGACATGGTTGATGACGGAGTCGTATTAGGTTCCGTTTGAGGCGGCTGCGTGGTGGGCACCACGACCAAAGGCATGTTACCTATGGCCTCAAATGTTTTTGAAAATTTAGACGTTGATTTGTAAAATACTGGTGGTTGCCCGATTGGGGCTTCCACGGTGATGTCTTGCGCGCCATCATATTCCTCCTTGGACCAGAGATGTACCCATTTAGATGTCGCATCAGGATCTTTAGGTAAATGAACATTCCATGAGCTCTTTCCAGCCGATATAACAGGAGCTACGAGAACGTCGTCACCGTACATGTACTCGTAAGCGACGTCCTGAGATCCGACGTCGTTTTCGTATTGCATGAATAACGGTCTTTGTGCTGGGATACCAGTTTCAGTTGTAATGTTGACTACATGTTGGGAGTAGTTCTTTAGAAGGGTGAACATCTCTGTCAATCGAGAAAACTTCATGGAGATCCCAGGACTCGAGTAGAACTGTTTGTTTGCTGCCGGCTGGTTCCCTAAAATGAACAATGTCTCGGTTTGAGTGATATGGGGAATGGTTTGACGTGCCAATCACAGTAAGCTGAAAAGGTATGTGTGGTCGACACTTTGGTAGAGTAGGTACAACAATGAAGATTCTTGGACGACGTACAGCAGAAGCTAATGTTTGTTTTTATTTCGAGGGTCATGTATTGTTGTAGTATTTTGACGTTCATAATCATAAATCATTTCACAGTGTCTTACCTTCATGTGATCTAAAAACTGGACCAAAGACAGCAGCTTCCGCAGATCGTAGCAGTAACTCCTCCGTTCGGACCATAAGTGGTGCAAACGTCGTGTAACCGCCGATATCAAAATGTGTTATACCGGCCCCACTGAGCCCCATATTAAAACTAGCGGGTATAGTAGAGGCTAAGCCATCACCGTAAGAAAAGTCCACATTTTGGTCTCCTGCCCACATTAACGTCGTGTAATTTCCGGTTCCTGTGAAAAGAATATAAAGAGTTATCTTTTCTTGGTTCAACGTAATCTGCTTATACAGTCATAGTAATAGAGCTGCTGCATCAGCAGGTTGTCGAAGAAATGTTGAATGGTTCAAAATCCAAAAATATATTCGAAGTGCCAAATCGTGTACACACTGTCAAGATCTCTCTCGAAAGGTCTTGGCTGTCGGTCTGGATCTGAACCAGTACCCCATGTAAAGCTGGGAAAAATCTTCGTAAGAGTGTAACTGCACGACAATTCTCAGCCCTATGCATGAAGTACGAATGGAAAGATCTTTGCTATATACCCGAGTATCCAGCTCTCATCCAAAACACCACCTCTCCCAGGTTACCAGATTCCTCCACAGCTTCTCGGTTTAGCTTGGCCCACAGGACGGGGTATTTATTGTGGACAATTGTAGCCGCTTCTCCACTGAAGGCATGGACATCAACTGGTAGATATTCTCCGAAATCAGCCATCCAACCCCCCAGTCCTAAATCTATGGAGTATTTCTTTACCACCTCTGTAAAATTAAAACGACATCCTTAGAGCACTACCTTGTGCGCCTAAGTCTCTATATTGGAACTCCCATTTCCAAAGACAGCTGTCCCAATATGGCTATCATATCCGAATATATATCAACAGCTGGTCTCCACTTGTGCGCCCAATTATTTTGGCGTTCTTGACCACTTTTCGATATGTGAACAGTTGGAAAGATCATCATTGACAGAGGCCAACACCTAGACAAAAAATCGAGACCTGCTGACCCACTTAGGGGTGCTGGATAACCTGCCTCTTATTCTATACGATCACCCTATGCAAAATGCTACAGAGCCAGCTCAGGCTCTTTGAGTGAACTAGTACCACAGATTGTGGTAACGTATATATAGTATAAGACAACAACTATTTACCATTTTTGTACCACTGATAAGCGTCTGGATTAGTCAAGTCTACAGTTCCACATTCAAATTCTCCAAAATCTTGTAGATAAGTTTGTCCAGTTGCATTTTTAAAGAAATATCCTTTCTGATCACCGATAGCGAAAAGATCGCCCTCTTTATTGAGGTTGGGGTTGATGTAACCGAGTACTCGAATACCTCGCTCCTTGAGTGTCGGAATGGTACTGTTCAAATCTGAAATGGAATGGAGTTTTGAGTCCTGCTTTTCTGCACTTAGTTGGGCTAATAAAGACGGGCAATACCAAGCAGTGTGCAACGAGAGAAACTTGCAAAGTCAGCGACATAAACTTCTCTTTTTCGATGTTCAACTTTCGAGGGATATTTAACATGCACATTCTGTAGCCGACGGACCACCTTGGTTTATTATCCCTTTCAGACATGTATCACTGACAGGTGGAATCCGTGCAGGATTATCAGGAATTTCCAGCCCCTAATATAGTTAAAAAGTAGTGTGAAATATAGACATGGCATCACCTGGATACGTAGTTGCATTCCAGCGCCAGTTCCAGAATATTCTTTTACCAAAGCCGGTCTGAATGGTACCAGCCCAATCCTGGATCCAAACTCCTGATAGTTTGATGTCGTACTGGTCACAATAGTCTATATACTCCAACATCTACCATTAATAATAAAAAAAAGGTTAAAAACGAATGATCCGGACAACAAAAAGAAACCCGAAAACCAAAATGAAGTTTCATTCTTATGCAACCTACTTGTTATTCATGATCTGTTCAGATATAAAAATTTGCATCAAAATTCAAGTTGATTTAGGTGCCCCGAAGAGTCAGTATAACTTGCAAAGGCATTAAACTAAACTAGTCAGGAATTTCGATACAAACCTTCTTGGTGCCGCCTTGAATTCCAATAATGGCGCCATCATAAATCCAATCCGGAAGTGGTGGCATCCTTCCCAGAAACCCCGTCAGCTTGGTAACGAGATCATTAAATGTTTTTCCAGTGTTAACATACAGCCTTCCAGGTTTTCCCATGATGAAGACCTCGTGGAAATCTTGATGACCGAAATCCAAGATGGCGTAATTAGAGCCGCCATGATGAAAGTAGTATTTCTGGCTGCTGTAGAAGGTCGGTTGGGGAAAGTATGTGGTATGGTAGTCCCCTCCACTCCGTTCCATCACGTCTGCTTGGAATGTTACCAGCGTGCTCTTATTTCTTCCAACACCTAAATTGAAAAGTATCAAATATGTTGTGAGAACTCTCTGAATGGGCTGCTGAGGTCACACCCACATGCCAAAAGGATAGGATACTGACCCTGTTTAGCAACTAGTTCTTGATCAAACCTTTTGGCAACATGCAAGTAACTATGGTCCATAACGTACAAAAACCTACCCTGTTCCCTAGTCCAGATAGGATACTGTCGACCTCTGAGATTAAGGTAAGAATATTGTTCACCACCACCATAAATAGCATCACTAGGTTGAGCTGCGATTCGAACCCAGAGTCGATCATACTGGTCTCCCAGATCACTGATGTCTACAGTTAGTGGATGACCTTCTTTTGACCCAAGGTTTACTGTGATGTTTTCCTGCAATACAGATAGGCTTATTCATGGCTATTTCGGGTTAATAGTAACACCAGTACGTTTTGGGTCACTTCTGTATTACAGTTGTTTATGGTCGCTCTGCGTTATTTAAGGGTAATAGTAACGCCATGTACGCATTATCAGGGTTGATTATGACTGTTCGCTGTTTTTGCGGTGAACAGATGTACCACTGGTCGACAGTTTACTTTGTCACTCTACGTCAACGCAAATTACCGTTCACAGAATTCACAAAACAACACTCCAGGTCTGAATGCTTACGCTTTAGACGTCATACAATATTGTTAATGCAAAATTGACTAGAGCTCATCTCATGCCGCATCACCACGAGGGCAGCTAGTTTTGGACATGAAGACATAAACAAAGTATGCGAACTCATTTAACATGTCCAAGTACAATAGCGAGGATATAAATTTGAATATAAAGGCTCATGCATCATGGTGTTTCAGGTCACTAATGTTCACAAATGGGACAGTTTACATACAGCGTTGTAGTTGTAGACCATGATCAGCTGATCGCCATTGGCGGTAGACGTTCTCTTAATGAGTTTCAGACCAATTCGTTCCAGCGTGTAGTCTTTAATGTTGAAGTTTCCTCGATATTCCAGGAATTTGGTGGAACCTCGTCCAAGATACAGGAACGGTTTGTCATTTGTATGATCTATTATCTAACAGAAAAGATAATGGTAAGAAAGCAAGAGTTAAAGGTATTGAAAAGAGGTTTTCTAAGAATTGAATATTAATGCTATCAGTATCAACGATAAACAATTTTTTTTTAGGATTTTAGGATATCAATTAACGTTTAGGGGATCCTTTCTACCAGGTGTTCATGACTAAACCTCTTGGTAAGATTAAGAGTAAAAATAGGGTCGTGTCTACCAGTTGGTCCTTGGCAATGATTTAACAAGGATAACAACATGGGTTCTCAAGGATCCTTTCTTCAAGCTGGTCCTTGATGAACTTCTTGGTAAAGTTAAACAACTATACACCTTAGGTTCTGGCGCATGCTGTCTACCAATTGTTCCTTCTAATGTCAAGTCTAGTCTTGATGTTGACTTTCGTTCATTACAAACAATAAGATTGGCACTACGATGACCAGGACGAGGATGCAGAGATGATAAATGACCGCATTCAGCTATCATTCTACAGAAACAGCAAAATTCTCCTTTCCCCACTCAGTAAGTTAAATTCTTAACCACTGACTACCACTCGCTACAAAGCGAAAATATAGAAACTATGGTGGCTGAAGTTGGCCATCACAGGATGTGAAATGGGCGTAATTAGCTTCCATGGGAAACGATTTGACGCCATTCTCCGTGGCTTACATAACAGCACCTACAGAAACAGTAAAACTTTCATTTCTTCAGTAAGTGAAAATTCTTAACCATTGACTGAGCTACAAAGCGAATATATAGACACTATGGTGGCTGAAGTTGGCCATCACAGGATGTGAAATGGCCGTAATCAGCTACCATAAGAAACAGTTCTTCATGACTTACCTTAACACCGCCAACAGAAACAGTAAAACTCCCATTTCCCCGGTCTGCGAATTTATATCCTTTACAAGAGGCAGAGCCACAGCACACAGCTAGAGCAATAAGGATTACTCTGAGGGAGGTTTCAGTCATCCAACCCATCGTTTTTCACACCTACAACGAATCAGGACAAGCAAGCAAGCATTTTTTTTTTCAATTCATAACTAGGCCATGTTATCTCCCTGATAAATTTCAAAAGAATGATTTTGAGCTAGCTCCATCCGCATCCGCCCCCACCCCCCCCCCCCCCCCCCCCCCCCACCAAAATTATTCCCAAAAGCTTATTTAGAACGAAAAAAGAACCAATTTACCTCGTCGTTCCTCGTCGTTCCTCGCAAAGAATCCAATCTCCAGATAACTTAATCAGCTGACAAATAAGGAAAAAGATTTTTTAAAAAAGACCAATCGTCACCACCCATCGTCTCATGATGAGGTTGATAAGTCAAAAGTATGAAGAAATGAACGAAGTCGTTTATTTTATCTTTTTTATGATAAGTTTTATAATTTTTGACATTGTCGTGTTATCTTTAAATATGATAAAATATATCAGCATCTTGGATTCAGCGCGTGCTCTTGAATAATCAAAAGCAGATTTGATAACATCTTATCTATTTATAGACTGACTTTAAAATTATAAAACTCTTAGAAATTTATAACAGACGTTGCAATTTTGATCTTTTCTTTAAATATGATACATTATTTCAATATCTGGGATCTTGCTCTATTTGACGCCATTTTGAATTATTGAAAAATTTGTTATTTTCCAATGTTTCACGAGAGGCCATATTTGATGTAGATATTCCTGGCAAAGCTTTCATTTCCAATTTCTCGATGTAAGTAATTCCACTTTTCTTTTTTGTCCCTTTCAGAGAGTCCACATATTATCTTCACAATGTCAAACTATTACGATCTGCGTTTTATACCTTGACTTCTTTTTTTTTTTTACATTTTTTGTATCACGTTAGTTAGTAAGTGCAGCGATTTGATTGAATTGTAAGAGTACTTATCGTTTCAAATATCGTGATGTCGAACAACCAGGGTCAGGGTTGTAGGAAAGATTGGTTTGTATTTTTCAGGGAAATAAATGGAACTACATACTATGGCGAAGTTAGAGCTAAGAGTTATAGTCAACAACAATATGACGAATCAAAACGCCTCGGGGCATCTGCTGGACAAATCACTGCCAAGTAAGATTTACATTCAATTTTTCTATATCGTGGTCGTATATGGATCGGACCAATGAAGTAGATCGTTTCTGGATTCTTTTTAGCTCCTGTGCAGTGAGCTAAATTTGTTCGTATACATCAAGACCAATATTTGAAAGTTTATTGCCATTAACAAAATTAGTCATCCTGATAAAGATTAAGTCGGCAGCATGAGATGAGTTCTAGTTAATTTAAACAAGCTCTGCAAGGAATGCTTCTACGGGCGGTGGTAGGAGGGAAAAGAATCCTCCCCCCCCCCTCCAACCCCCCAAAAAAAAAACAAAAGAAAAAAAACGCCCACCAACCCTTGATTCATCACTCTTTTATTTCAGACCGAATGCATACAATAAATTCAATATAGCCGTGAACGTAGCAGCGATGCAAAAAATCACTTTTAACCTAACGTACGATGAATTACTAGAGCGCCGAGCTGGTATATACAACCATGAGATCTATATTAACCCAGGCCAGCCTGTACGTGATGTACAAGTTAAAGTTACTATTCAGGAAACTCGAGCTATTAAAGATGTTTCCGTACCAACACTTACTACCGAAATACCGTCAGTTATTAAGAGAGGTAGTTTAAAGGAGTATTTTCGTCTATTTTACACTATAACGGTCAAAGGTCAAGGGTTATGCCCCTCTTGCAGCTGTCCCGTCCATGTCAAAATATATTATATGTACATTAAAGTAAAGGAAAGCTGTGCTCAAAAACTCCGAAAAAAGTCAAGTAAATTTACTTCCACTAAATACACTTTAGACACATCATACACATCTCCCATTGGAAAGACCTTTAATGAATAGTAATCGAACAGTAAGACCAATTTTACATCTGAAAAATGATACGCATGGATAGCTGGCAAAAACGTTTTTGAAATTTCTAAGACGATTTTATCTCTTTCAATTTCAGCTAAAATGGTAATAATAGACCAGCCAACACCCAAAACAGCCAACATCCAATTCTCTCCGACCACGTCTCAACAGGGGGATGGCGGATTGGCGGGAAAGTTTATCGTCCGATATGACGTAGAACGTGATTATTCGGTTGGAGATGTCTATGTAAGTAAACTCGAAAAGACACGCCATATAGATGTATTTATATTAACTCATGCTGGACCGGATAATGGAATAAAAACATATTGACCAGGCCCGTTGCCAGACTTGATTGTTCTGAGGGGCAAATAATATATCCGCAGGGACAATGTTAGAATTTTTCTTTTTTGGGGTGGGGAGGGGGTCGCATTGTCTCTCTGTATGCCCAACGTATGGAATCCTTTTGCGACTTGGGGCATAACTGAACAAGTTTTCATGAGTTTTGGTTTTTTATGCAGTGTGGCTGTGAGTGTGCTCAATCATTATTTATATCAAATACCAATTAAAACTATTACAGGTTGTCGATGGATATTTCGTCCATTTCTTTGCGCCCAACATCACTGAAGAGTTTCCTAGAGACATTTTGTTTATGTTGGATACCAGTACGTCAATGGCGGACCGGAAGTTGGGCCAACTGAAAGACGCCATGACAGTTATCATCAAAGAGCTAAGTGAACAGGATCGTTTTAACATCTTGGTTTTCAACACCCAGCAGACGTTTTGGGCAGACGGTTTCCAACCAGTAACTTCTGGCACAAAATCAAAAGCTCTAAAGTTTATCAAAAATCTTAGAACCAATCAATGTACGTAAATTTTGATTTCGGAGACAAAGCAGCGCCATCTTGGATCTTAATACCCATCACGGTTTATAACCATGATCTATTCGGGTCATATTTTAAACCGTGGAACATTCGATATTTATTATTTCGATCCTAGAATCTTTTCTGAACAACTTCACAATGCCAAGCTATTACCAACTTTGCCCATCATGTATCCCGGAAGTTTGTATGTTTTTACTCACCACAAATTCAAATGTAGTCGCGGTCACTTGGAGACTTTAAATACAATGCACCAATGGAGAATGAAACCTTTTGCAAAGTTAATAGCAAATCTAATTTCAGATACTGACATCCAGGCTGCCTTGGTAAAAGGGTTTTCGATGTTCGAGAAGGACCCAGAAGGTGTACCAATGGTATTCCTTCTAACTGATGGAGAACCAACTAAGGGAAATACCAGACCAAGGTCAATCATTCACTGGGTAAAATCTGCCAACACTCAGAAAATACCCATTTATAGCTTAGCTTTTGGCAAAGGTGGGCACAAAGCACGTATGATGACTGGGGGTGTGGGTGGGGCCCTAGCACTAGGCCTCCCATCATAGAAAATTTTGCAAAACCAACAAGACATTTGATTGGAGTTACTTGGAGATACGTCACTTGATTGGTTACGTCGAATATAATATTATGGTGGTCGTTTGTATTTATCTCGGCAGGCATTTGGAAGTCTTGAATAAGTCATCTTTCCTCATTATCTCAGTTGTGAAAATGGGTAAGGATAATCCGAGAGGGATCAATGCCATGACGTTTGACCAAACACTAGCTGGTAGAGTGGATCATAGTGAACCCAAGTTTTTATCCCCCTAAAACTAAAATCATTACCAAGAAATTTGACCGAACAGCAGCTGGTAGACACGATCCCAGTGAAACTAGGATATATTTTTCTATCTTCCTGTTAAATATTCTGTTGACTTGCGATGCCTAAAACTAAGCCATATCTTTGGTCTTTCAGGATCGGATTGGGACTTAATGTACCGGATCGCCTTTGATAGTGGTGGTGTCGCCCGAAGAATTTTTGAAGGATCATCAGCTTCGCTCCAAATAGCCCAGTTCTATAAAGAAGTTTCCAAAGTTTTGCTTGAGGACATCACAATACAATATTCAAACCTCAATAATGGCACCAAGGTTTCAAATGAAAGGAGCATATTTAAGGAAGATACGGACAGTATTTTGCTGGGTGGCACTGAAATCGTCATAGCTGGCCAAGTACAAGATAACTCTAATTACATAGACTTAGTGATTGCCGCCAATTCTGTCAATGGTCCAATTGCCATGAAGGCCCAGGAGAACGACGACGAGGACGGCATGCACATCGACAACGCAAGTAATATTTTAGAGAGGTTGTGGGCGTACCTTACAATTAAAGAATATCTGGAAACGACGGCTGCATCAGGTACCAGAGGCGGAGACAGAAATAAAGCAGAAAGACTTGCTTTAAAGGTAAACTACAATAGCCACTATTCTAGTGTCACGGAATGCAGCGATTTGATTGGATTGTACGCCAACGAATATAGCCTATCAGAGCCACTTTTTAATTGAAGACGAACTAGGTTTCAAGCTCTGCCCTACATCGTCATAATATGTTTTGGTCCGACAATTGTTGGCCTTTTTCGTATTTTTCAGTATGGGTTCGTGACCCCCACCACTAGTATGTTTATATCACCAAGTGCCACTAATCTATGGAAAACCTACGATGAAGACTATAATGAATTCCACCTTCGAACAGCCAGACCTAGTAAGATTTTAATTTTTTTATTACCCAGTAAATTATTTTAGCACATATAGTAGTAAGAACCGGTATTAAAAAATCAGACCTTATATAATTTATTAATCATTTATATTATTTTTATTCGAACAACCATCAAATATTTACATGCTATATCCCTTTGAAGATCCTGTTTTTCTTTTATTTTTTACTTACAGCTATTAAACCTCGACCGACAAGACCACCACGACGCTGGGGAGGGGGAGGCGGTGGAGGTGGCGGAGGATGGGGTGGAGGTAAGAATTGTTTTTTTTGATTTATATGTATATCCAAACGTTCTTAAATTCATCTTGAAGATGATTTGCGACAAGTGATTAAGATATTTCAAGCAGTTTTAAAACGCATTAAAGATGAGTATTCTGACGAAAGTCGGTTTAAAGCCTAACGATTTTTAAAATCTTCTTGAAGAAAATTCAGCAACAAATGAACATAGGCTATTACATCCAATTTAGATACATGAGGTATCCTATAGCTATCTAAATCTTCAGACATAAGATTAGGATATTCTCGGATATTCGATTAATTTGACCTTTGTTTTCAGGTGGCGGTGACCCCCATTTCATGATTGGATTAAATAGTCTCGACTATCCTCTTTGTTTTGATGTAATTGGAGAAAAGGACGAGATTTACAACATGTTTCAAGACGTAGTCAAAGGTAGGCTTGATCGAGGAGATGAGGGATTAAGAGGAGGGGGTAGGGGGGCGTTAGACCTACACTGTTCCCGAAGTTATACCTTTTTGATTGTCTTTCAGTTTTGATAGGGTATAATACGCTAGCAGAAGGCTTGGGCCCTACTAGACGTGGGGTCGAATTGAATATTTTTATTTATACGTTCCTTTAACATTTCAGACTTGACGGTAAATGTACGTTTCGACACAGGAGTCAAGAAAAACAGAAATGGCGGGAAAAGAGTTTACATCAAAGAGGCGGCCATTTTGAATTCTGGACAAACTGTCTATGTAACTCATGAAGTAATAGAATTTGACAACCACAAGTATCCTTGGGAGGACAGTCTTGAGACAAGAATGAAAGGGGCGTGGCTAATTATAGATGGCGATACGGAGGTTGTTCGCGTTGTGTTTGATAATGGGCTAGAGGCGGAAGTGGCAAGACGAACACACAATAAACATACCCATATTGGGGATGATTTCATCAACGTAGAAGTACGTCACGAGCGGCGTGCCTCGGTGTATGTAACGGGATTAGTGGGTACGTTCCGCTTAAAACTTTTCTGCTCTGCTGTTACGGGGATCAAATGCATAATTGATGTCAGGCACAAATTCTGCATATGTAGATCCAACATTATAATACCTTGCTTCTTTTATCTTTGAATACCGGGGAACATTGCGCAGGTAACGCTAACGAGGGCGTCCGAACCATAAACATAATGTCTTACTTTTAGTATTGCTTTACGGTGGTTACTTTTTTTTTTATTGTAGGGCAATTTATGCAGAAACATGTCGAGCTAAAACTAATTCGACTAACAGATTCTGATACTATTGTCGGTCACTTGGTACAGAAGCACGGCGACGACGAAGAAAGCAGAAGTAGAGCCACGTTGATAACCAGGCACGATCCAGTACTGAAAACTAAACGACAGTGCTGGATGCTTAGGGAGCAAGGGTTGAAAAATTTGGTGAACCCTGAAAAATTCCGTATTTCTAGTATTTTTTCATTTTGATTTTGATGCTTTTTGTAATAAATAGCTTTTGGTGTTGAAAGTTTGGTTGCTTCTATTACAATAATTTCGGTCCGTTGTATGAGAATCCATAATATTACCATGACTTGTTTCTGGGAACTTTTTCACTTCCGGTTTGGCTGAATGTCGGTGCTAGAAGGTTGAATACTTTATATCAACGCCAGTTGATCACTTAAATAAGTCGCTTGCGTCTTTACTAAAGTATAGAGTTTTGGCATTGATGGCCCTCCATAAAATATAAAAGCGAACTTAGTTATGGTTCTAAGTGGAACTTATTCTTTTTACTTTATCGATATTTTTGGAATGGACGACCTTCCATAAAAAGAAAAGAGCAGTCTTATTGCTCTCTTTGGATGTTATAAGACAAGTTCGCGTTTTCTTTTTAATTCGACAAGTTTTTTGGCATAGGTGGCCCTCCATAAAAAGTAAAGAGCTGGTGAATTGCTTTCTATGAACGTTGTTAAACAAATATGCGTTTTGATTTATTTTGTAGACATTACCCATTATGGCCTTGCCTGTTACTCTGTAGAGACTGATATAAGAACATAACAAAGGGAATTAACCCTGTTGCCCCCAGCTTTAACCCTCTGGTGTCCGGATATCTTTAATCAGCCAATACATATCCATTAAACACCAATAGAATTTTATACTAATCTTCGAACTAAAAAATATAGAATAATTCCCTTTTGGAGACTACACAATGTCTACATTGTTAAATTAAGTTTAATCGCTTTCAGAGAGTTCAATGGTTCAGCTTATACCTTGTGGAATACGCGACACAAGAGCAAATCACAGGGGTATGTGGCAAGTCTGATACCCTTGAATTAGTAATGACTTACTCATTACCGCGGTATTTAACAGGTCTCTAATCCCTGTGATGTACTATTAATGAAGCAATATGAATGTGTTGACGCCAATAGATGACCATTATCTCAACTATATAGCAAATACTAATAAGTACCTATTAATGAATAATTAATAGCATCACATTGTCTCGTTTCCGGAGCATTATATGGACAGATGCACCATTTCCTTTTAACAGATTTTATGCATAGCCAATCAGTAATAGTCTTAACAGCTCACCGTCTAAATAAGAGCCTTCAAATTCAAGTGTGTCTAGAATTATCCGCGTTTGAAAGTTAAAAAGAAGAGTCGTCTTTTCTTGGGACACTGCCATCTATAGAAAAGATATCTATAGGTAAAGAAAATCCTAGTTTAAGATATTTTTGAAGGAATTGAAGACCCAAGTCAACACTCAAAATGGCGCATCTGTCCCTTTAAAGGGTAAGCATCGTATTTAAAACGAAATGAAAACTTGACAAAATGACAATTTTGAAAGCTGAAAATGATTTATTCCATATCCTAGTCCGAAACATCTGCCTCTTTTCCAGTCTCTGATGGCTATTTTGACTATTGTAGGCGGCAGCATCAGCGGACCCCCGCGAATAAAGCCAATCCGAGCTATGCCTATGAGGTCAAAAGCTCAATATAGTCAAGGTATCCAAGATGTCCAAAGAAAGGAAGATGCCTATCAATTTTCGCAATTATCGGACAATATTGCACAAATTTGCATTCATAACTACATGCAGGTCAAGGGCAATAACTCGTGATGAGAAAAAACAGACGGACAACAGTACTAAGTCGGTCAAAATCTTTTTTTAAATAGAACTAATGGACACAGTGTTTATAAGTCAATAATTAATTGTACATTATATAGAACCATCACGTCTCTGGATAATAGAGACATCATAGCTAACTTATCGATTTGTTTCAATTTCGTCGAATTTCGTTTTCGTTGCGTTCATTACATCGCCGTGTCACTTTACTTTCATCGTTTATAGATTTGGTTTAAAATAATCGGACGTATTAACGGGAATATCATTTGCATATTCATGAAAAGCGAAATGTTGTGTTTATATTGAATTGTTTAATGAACGAGTCGCTCAGGTATTGGAAGAAGTGCTTGAGTTAATAGTGATTTGGAATAAAAAAAAATAAGGACAGAAAACAATTAAAACAAAACGTGAAATTCGTTCGTATTTGGAGTTTAAACGCTATGTGATCTTCATAACATATATTTTGAGATATTTTTTACCCTTTTTGTTTCAAATTATTTGTGGGACAATGATGAGAAAGCTACGAGTGCTCGTTGTATTTTTGATTGAATTCTTTGTGCTCGTTGACAGATGTCAGCCAGCTATTATTTTAAAGGAAGACTATCAAGGTAAAACTGTGATTGGGGCATGGAGTGAGGATATGGTTTCATGTGATGTTTTTTTTTTAAGGGCTGGGGTGTGGTGGGGGGGGGGGTGGGGGGGGTGAGATCAAGGCAATGGTCATTACCATGCACATATCTTGTCCTCCTATGTTATTAAATCAAAGTTTACATCATTGCTCACTCCACCCCGTTGTCCGTTTTTATAAGTCGATAGAGTCCATTGTATTATCAGTCCAGCAACTGGAAATATAGACATAAAACCGCATTTCATTATTGTCGATCCGCTAAAACGTCGATGGTATCCTACATTTTTCAGGTTGTCGTTTTATCCAATGTGAATCCGGACGTTTACCCATTGGAGAAGATTGTGTTTGTCAGTGTCCTCTGGGCCGCTACGGTCACTTCTGCGAATATGGTAAGTTTCACTTCAATTCAGTCACCAGTAACTCGTTTAAAATCCAACTTCCAACTTCTGGTTTGTCTGCAACAAGATAGGCAAATAGTAAATATCAAGTTGACCAATGGTTTCATAATCTCTTTACATCTGCTTAGAACAAATCTGAAAATGGAATAGAAACTCGCGGTACCTTAGTATAAAACGAATCTTTTTTTTTATTTAATTGTACACGAACAGGGCGTTGGTTTCCATTCTCAAAAGTAATGCGGATAACAACCTTCTAACTGCGGCCAAAGCACATGTCCCCCGAAAAGTTTATTATATTGAATATGTTCGTCATTTTCAGAGGATGACATTCGCTTTCCTGGTGGCAACTATCTACTTCCCAAACCAATTTACGGATGTCCCATCAACAGAATGGTTTCGTCCTCATTAACAGTGACGTTTCCAGCAGATTCCGATGACGTCATGGATTGGTTTTTGAAATCGTCTAACCTGATTGGTCCAGCTGTGCCTAAGGGTTTCAAATTCCATTTCTGCCACAGGCTAGACAACATTGATGATGACCCAAGCTTGTGGATGCCGGGAAAATATTGCTTGTTTCAAAAGGGAGACAACCTATGTCCTGAGGGTAAACCCTGTATTTTGAGTATTCATACCAATATACATTCGAGGAGTCACTGTGGCTCAGTGAGT